AGCAGTCATGTTTACTTGTTTTAAACTAAACTAACATTATTTTAATAATTTATAATAAAGAAAATGTTAAGTAAACTTAAAAGTATTGTTTTTCCCTTAGTCTGTATGTCCTGCTGCTTGCCTCAGCAAAATATAAATTTTCTCCTTTATCCAATCCTTATTATAGGGGGCGTAGGTATTTGTCGATTTTTGATACACCAAACAACTCAGATCCGACAACTGTAAACAAATTGTTAGAAAAATGCAACAATCAACACAAAATTAAATACTTGATCAACAAAATCAAACAATTGGGAAATATCGTAAGTGATAGTGGGAGTATTGGGGTTTCGGCGTTTCAAATGTTCCTCGTATATTTTACAAACACCTTCCATGCACTCATTCACTGATTCGTAATCCGAATAGGTCCGAGTCTCAGGGTTAGCCCCCGGTTGCACGAGCAAAATTGTATGGGCCTAAAAACACAAAACCGTGACCTGGAAACCCCCAATGTGACAAATTGACTCACCATTGTAGTAAAAACACAAGTATCGGCAAAAATCACGCAAATTTTTGCATTAAAACAAGCGAGTTTGAGGTTAGGCTAGTGACAAATGTCGCCAACTTAAACCTTCAAACCACTTTTAAAAAATTTGTACTGGTCTCAACTAGGGAGCGTTACAAATAATAGACTTCTTTATGAATATTTATTGTAATTATCTTTTATAGTAATATTTAATATTTTTTATTTTTTTTTTATAGATATCAGAATTTAAAAAGTTAAAGTCCCTAGGGACATTACAAAGTGTCAAACAAATGTCAACATAACCTAATTCGGTGTTTTTGATTATTGTATTAAGTGAAATGGGTTCGGAACATTCAACTCATTTGCATGGTGGTCATGGGGGTAGTTTGAGCCACCCCCCGAAGCAGCCATCGAACATCCGCCGCCAGCACACTATTGCCAATCCAGGCGGGGCTGAGCCCCCTGAAACTTCAGAAAACGGCCGTCCGGGGTCAATATCCCCCGGGCCTAGTGTTTGTAGTGACACAGACTTGCCATACATCAGCTACACCGTAAATCGCCCAATTGGAGGTACCCAAAATATTTAAAAAATCCTTTTTTTGATATTTTATCGTAGACTCGCCCAAATTAACCAACAAGCAAATCGTCAAACCCAAACGCAAAATTCCCCAAAAACCGACAAAAAAATCGTCGCATAACATCGTGGTGGTGAAACCGGCTACAATGGGCCCCAATGTGGACAAAGACCCTGACATTATGCGCCTTCAGAGCATCCCCATGTTCTTGCCCATAATGCGAGCCACTTTGAACTTGCCGGCGGCGCGCGACCCCGAGGTTTTGGAGCGCTTGGATCCGGCCCCCTTGCACAAACTCTGTGTCAAGTATCAGACGCATTTGACGGCTTGTGCCAACTTAATAGCCACCGAACAGAATCAATTGACGCAGAAAGTGAGAGAGACTGATGGGGAAATCACTAGAATTATCAGTGGTTTGACTGAAAGACAGAAACGGTTTGCTAAATATGCTGAAAAGTTGTCCAAAGTTCAGGAGTTGTCGCATCAGTTGAACCGGTGCCACATGCTCCTCAACCATACGCTCGAATCGATGGAAACTTTGAATAATTACCTCGACATTGAGGATCGATTAGAGCCTTTCGTGTGGACCACTGGATGATATTAATTTTTGACAAGTATGACATTTGATCTCAGCCTGCTTGTACAATGTATAATATGAAATAAATGGTGATAAATAAGGGGTGGGGTTGGTGTTTGAGACTCGGGGGTTGGTATTTGTGACTCGGAGCCCCCTCTTTTATGCAAATGAGCGAATTGATCCTTGTCAAGGTCGTTTCGATGACTCAAATGTCGATGACGTCATCGCAAGATGGCCGCCACCCAAAATGGACTCATCGTTCACTTTTTTAATTTTTTAGCAAAAATTTGATATTTTTCGGTAAATTTGCATCAGTGGGGCTATCACAGTGCGCGTACGGTGTCCCTGTGCGTGAAATTGCGGTGATTTAGTTCGGACGCAGCCCCCAGGATTTCGCCCCTTTCGAAGACACGAGCTAAGGTCTAAAAATAATCAAATGACTTTTATATTTTAGAAATTTTGAGTTATTTTAGATGCGGGGTAAATATAGACGAGCACTCACCGATGTACTTTCTTTTCAGGTTAAATGCTCGAGATAGAGTGATAAGACAACGAAAATGCCAGTTTTGTCGCCGAGACAGAGTAGTGCTTCGGCATTGACGGGGTCGTACAGGTCCACGTTCAGTTCGTCGACGATTGATAGGCCCTATTTTGGGGGGGGCACGAGTTACAGCCCCCGGATCACCACTTTCAGCGAGAGGTACACCACCAGGACCTACTCGGATGCGGATGGAAGGAGGATTTTCTCCAGGTTAGGACTCTTCCACCTTATCAAACACGGAAAAATAAATAAATACTTACATGCAAAATGAGGAAATTATTCTACAAAGATTTAGATATGACAATATTTGTTCAGTGATACCTACTTTTATTTAAAAATAGTCTTTTTTATATTTATTTTTCTCTACAAGTAATTACAGTAATAAATTGCTGTCACGTAATTTAAGTCATTTATTATCGTTTTTTAAATAATTTATTTTCGTCCCTGAGTTCAATAACCAGTTTACTATTGATCGTAATATTTCTCTATTTTTAAATTATTTGAAATTAAAATTTCGGCAAAGATGTGAGAAAAAAAGTGAAATATTTTCTCAATTGACCTATTAAAAAAATGTGGGTGGTGTTGAATCGTTTGTCGATTGTTTTACACCAAGTGGTGCCAACATAAACAATTTTTTCGTAGGTGTCTTGACTATTTCAAATAAAAAGAATAATTTTATGAAAATACCGTGTCTTGAGTAAAATTTTTGATCTAATTGGGCTATAATTCTAAAACAAAGTTGGCAACAGTGAATCGTAGCAATAATTTCAATGACAGGACACTTTGAACAAAAATTTAATCGAACGCATGGTTTGATATAATTTTGTCTAAATTCTTCCAAAATTGACAGAAAATTAAAAAATAAATAACAAAACGTAAGTAATAAAAAAAATGTTTGATTTTAAATAATTTTTTAATTATTTAGAATTTTTTCTTGGTAACAAACAGAGGGAAATATTATAAATTTAACTGTATGTAATTATAATGTTCTACACATTTCTTTGATATTCAAGGTTAAATAATGTATTTAATTAGTAAATAAAAGAAACTTTTTTATAGTGTGGAAATTCTCTTTAAAAAAATTCTTTTTTGTTGAAAGCAAAAAGTAAAAAAAATTAAACAATTATCTATAAAAATTTGACGTTTGGGAGAGCCAAGGTTGCCAAACTAAGATTTTTAATTTGACATTGCCAACTTAAGGATAAAAGTTACAGGGTATATTGTCGTATCAACAAGAAATTACTGCCTAGGATTTAGGGATATTCGTAAATAGGTTTGGTTAGGTTGGTTTTTGGTGACAAACAAAACTAGTGTCATGTAACCGTCAACAACAAGGGGTAACCAACCCTAAACCTTCAAAATTACTTCCGAGAATTCTAGTTACAAACAAAATGAAAAACGTAATTTTCCTAAAAGTTCAAATTCTAGGTGGTAATTTCTTGTTGACAAATCTTTATACCTTTACATTTTTTGGTGTTGCCAACTCAATTCTAAAATCACAGCCCACTTCTTATTTTTAATAACTTTTTGCAGTTTTTGTTTTAAGACTCGGCAGTTTTCTGAAAATAATTTAAATAAATAAAGAAACAATTTTAAGACTTTGTAACATTTTCTTTTTTTCCCAATAGTAATAATGAAAAAACTATATTTTATACATACAGGCTGCGCCAGAACTCGCGCCCCAGAGAAAAATGCCATATAAGGTAAGATACCAGGAACATGGAAAAAATGTTAAAAAAATTTTATCTATAAAAATTTCGAAGTTATGAGGGTTTAAAGTTTGTACTTTGACTCTATTTATTTCTATTGGAAAAATAATTTTCAAAGTTTTTTTGCTATAAGCTATTAAAAGAGGAAACAAGGAAGCTAAATTGTAACTCTGTTCAATGTTATTTGTGGCTTTTATTGGCAAAATTTTTGTCCCTTTACTAAATAATTGTAATAAAACATACAAAATCATCAGTATCATTAATTAAAAAAATGTCAAATGTCCAAAAATAAATGTAAATTTTTTTTTCATGTTCCTGGTATCTTACCTTACTTGAGAAATTTCTCTGGGGCGCGAGTTCTGGCGCACCCTGTATTTTATTAAACAGTTGGAGCTTTTTATTTTGAATTTTTCTGATATGACCGAGGTTTTATGTTTTTCACCGGAATTTCTCTTTTCAGGTCCGGGAGTATAACCGAAGACGGCATAACCAGCCGTTTCCGGGAAGAAGCCCGCGAGTCGAGCATCGCCCGTCGCGAATCCCTCTCTCGCGACTCCGGTATAAGTTCAATTCGCGAAAATTCGATCGTTGATTTTGGTCGTCGTGACAGTTCCCTGTCTCGGGACAGCCCCCGTTTATCCTCCATCAACGTTCTAGATTCGGTCGCCGAACTTCGTAACAAATACTCACCAGCAAACTACGTTCCTGCTTGTCTTCGTGAACGTAACGAGAATATCTCACGTTCAAAATCCATAAACGACATCGGTTTGCCACCCATCGAAACGAAACTGGCCAAAAAGAAGGTAAATAACGACAGTTTGAATTACAATAACAGCGTGTTGTCGATTTCTAACCCAACTACTAACGATAACAACATGACGACGAAAGTTGAAGAGGACGATGATAATGGAAATAGGGCTTCGGTGGCCGATTTGAAGAAACGATTTGATGAGAAGAGTCAAAAAGTTGTAAAAAGTCCGCTGGTTAAAGATTTGGAAGAGAGTAGTTTTAAAATGTCGGAGAATCGATTTAAAAAATTCGATTCGAAAGTGAAAAATTCTAAGAAAATTGAGGGAAAATCTAGCGTGCGACAATCGGAAGTGACATGTCAAACGTCAAATTCTGATTGTGTTATATCGAAATTGGATGTGAACGAGACTGCGACGGTCAAAAATGGGATTCGAACGCAAGAGGATGACGTTGATTGCGGCGAAGTAAGAAAAACGACAAGAGTTAATAATTTTGCGTCGTTTATACCGGCGAAAGATTATCAAAAGAACGGAGACGATTGCTTAAACGGAGACACGGATCAAGGAGACGAGAGCACGACGGACTTGTTAGGGAAGAGGTTTACTGTAAGTATTGTGTGGAAGACTAATTGATTAATTTTCGGAGGGTTTTGGACGGGGTTTGATTTTGGCGCCGGCTTTTGGGCGCTTTTACCATACAAGGTTGGCAGTATTGATGATCGTTTAAAAATTGTGAGGGTTATTTGAATTTGGCGCCTGCTTTTGGGCACTTTTGCGATGCTAGGTTGGCAATATTGAGGATCGTTTTTTTTTATTTTGTTTGTTCCTTATTACAGTTACGAAATAACACAATTGACTTTTAATTTTTATGGTTTTTGTTATTAAATAATGATTTAGTGCAAATTTTCAATTAAAAATGTTTTTTTTTTTCAAAAATTTTGTAATCATGGTTGGCAACCCTTACCTTCAGTGTGGTTGAACGCCGCTCGTTTTGTGTGTTTGTGTTGACAAAAAGTAAGTGCAAAACAAGAAAACACGTGTCTCCAGTTAAGAATTAAGTAATTTTATGAAGTAATATTGAATTTTGTGACGTTTGGTGGTCATAAATTTGTAACATTTTTAGGTTATTTGTTTTAAAATTGAGTATTTGTGGGAAAAACAGCAAAATTTTGGGTAATTAAACCAAGAATGTCACAAATAGTAAGTATTTTGATTATTTCTTTCGGATAAAATAGCCCAAACTTGCATTATGTCAGTTATAATTTTTCGGTTGGTGACACTGAAATTTTGACATTGAGCTAACGAAATTTGTAAATTGAGTACGTTTTGTGGTTTAATTCATCAAAATCATAAGAAACTAAAAAATTTGGCTGAAAAAAGCTGTTTATGAAAAATTACTGCCGTTGCCGAAATTCTGAAGGTGCAAAATTTTTGTCTTCAACATTTCTTAGTTTTTGTTTTTTATTATTATTTTTATTGTTAAAATTTGTGTTAATTCGTTCAAAAACAATTTATTTCAATTGACATTTTGTTTTTCACTAGATGTCAGTTAATGTTGGTAATTTTTATATTACCAAATTTAAGAAATACCAACCTGAGAATAATAAAGTATAATTCAAGGCTATATTTTTGCTTATTTTATTCAGTTTGGCGTAATTATACCCTTTTTCATATTAATGTGGATGAAGTAGGTTGGAGAAGTCTAGATGAATCTTTAATTTAAAGGCCGATTTACACAAAAAGTCATTCAGAACAAATTTAATCACATAAATATGACAAAAATTTTTATTTTTGTTTTCCTATGTTAATTACCTTGATTTTAATTATTTTTTGCTATGTGGGGTACACATTTATTTGAAAAAATATTTTTTAGGGAAGATTGAGGTTGATTGTTTGAATTTTCGCATGGTTGCCACCTTAAAATGATCCCTTTCAACGACTACTTTGATGCACATTAATATGAAAACGAGTACAGATCTGTCAACAAGAAATTATCACCTTGGATTTCATGTAACTAGAATTTTCAAAAGTAATTTTAAATGCCTAGGATTGGTTATCCCTTGTTGTTGACGGTTGACGTTTTCCGTCAACCTGCTGTCAACTATAAATTGAATTAAGTATCTATACAAGTTGACAGGTGACTTAACCTAAATGTTGACACTAGTTACGATATTTCTGTTTGTCACCGAAAACCAACTTAACCAAATTTATGACAACCTATTCACGAATATTCCTAATTTTTAGGGAGTAATTTCTTGTTGATACGACAATATATGACTTATCATCGACAGATTTTATTTATTACACATTAAAAATGGTTAATCCCCAAATTTTCCTCATTTTTATTATTGGTTTAATTTGGTTTTTTTGTCTTGAGTTGGTACTACTTGAATTTTGTCAATTGAGGTGGGCTTTATTTTTATTATTAAAAAAACTAGAAATTTTGAACTTTTGACGTTGAGTTATTTACAAATTGCGAGTGAAATTAGTATTTTTAAATTTATTCTGTTATTGTTATGTCTTGGTGGGTAGAAAACCGAAAAAAATATACAAGATGTATCATAAACCCCGTCCAAAATCTTTGCCGCATTTTGTTTTTCTAAATAATCTACACAATGTGAGTCAATAATAAAAGTGGATCAGTCGAATTTTGAAGCTATTAACTGTTTAATAACTTCAAAATTTTATTTTTTCAAATTGAAATTAATACGGGATGGGAACGTAGTGAGAATGGACTTCACCGAGTGCAGTTTATGGGACGAAAAAAGCGCCCGATTATATCAACGAGTGTGTTGGACTTCACCGTTTCGAAAAAAATTGCGCGACAGATGGAAAAAAAAGTTTCCAGAGAAAAGTGACAATAGAATTAGAAGACCGGCGAAAAGAAGAATCGGTAGGAAAAGTACAACAAAGAGACGGAGAAAAACAAAACGGAGAGTTACAAGGCGCAAAACAGACAATTCCGAAGACGGAAATCGTCGTGGAAGACGAAAAAGAAGAAACGTTCGTGCACGTTAATGTCTTGTAATTTTTTTTTATAAATTTCATGTATAAAGACTGATCACTACAATCGACTTGACTCACTTTGTGTTTTTCATTTTGACAAAGTCATGTCAAAAAAAAAGTGTAATTTTGACAAGGCTGCAATGTTTCGACTTTCGGTGCCATGTACTCCAAGAGTTCACTTTTATTGAATCGTACACAACGTCGACATCTTTCGGTAGGTTAAAATATTGAAAAGATGAGGAAAAAAAGCGTAGGTGTGTTAGTCGTGCCAATTTTATTTTTACATAAATGATTGTAAGTCGTCCGAATGGACGTAACGTTTTTGTTGTTCGGTTTGTGGTTTTCGATGATGTTGTACGGTTTTATCGTCGGTATGACATGTGACAATTTGACAATTTTTGGGGTTGGTGGAAATCACGAGTTGTGCGAATTGACCAGGTAAAAATAGCGAAAGTGGGAATTTTAAACTCAAATTGGTCTTTTTATTATAGGTAAGTGACGGATTCTGAAAATTTGTGTTAATTTCCACAACTCGTGTCGGTTTATTATTTTTGTTGTTCTTTTTGTTTATTTCATTTTTTTTGTTTAGGATATTTCCACCTCGCCGAAGCTCAGCGCCACCTCGACCCGTTCTACCATCTCCCCCTCCACTTCCACCCTAAATTCCTCGAGTTCGACGAGTCCATCTCGACGTTCCTACAACGATGATACCACCACCACGAGTCCTATAAAAACGCAAGGCCTCAACGGACTCAAAAACATCGGTAATACATGTTTCATGAATTCCGTCATCCAGTGCCTCTCGAATACGAAAACCCTATTGGAGTACCTCCTTCAAGACCATTACGTCAACGATATCAACACCACAACGTCAGCAATGAAAGGTGCTCTAATCAAGGCATTCGCCGAAGTGATTAAAAAACTATGGTCACAAGAGGCCTCCGATCGCGTTGTAAACACATCCAGTCTCAAAAGTCAAATTCAACGATTCGCTCCCAGATTCATTGGATATGCCCAACAGGACGCTCAGGAGTTTTTGAGGTATTTGTTGGAGGGGTTGCACGAGGACGTTAATCGAGTTAAGGAAAAACCGAAACCGATATTGACCGAAATTGATGAGAAATTGACGTGAGTTGAGACACTCACTCATTCGATACGTTTGTCTATCGTGTTTTTTTTTTTTTTTAACAGGGATAGTGAAAAGTCGTCAGAGTCGTGGAATCGTTATTTGAGAATGGATAATTCGAAAATTGTCGATTATTTCGTTGGGCAATTAAAATCAACATTGAAATGCACACATTGTGGGCATTGTTCGGTGACTTTTGACCCGTTTTGGGACTTGTCGTTACCGATACCGCAGAGGGCGGGGCAAGTGAGGTTGGCACAATGTTTGGATTCTTTCACAAGGGAGGAAACGTTAGATGGGGACGAAAAACCTGTATGTTGTCCATAACTCACTTACCACTCTTCTAATTTGTGTTTTTTAGACATGTTCCAAATGCAAGGAGAGGAGGAAATGTACCAAGTCGTTTTCGATTCAGAAATTTCCCAAGATTTTAGTGATACGTATCCTTTTTTTATCTTTTGTTTTATCAATTAATTGAGGATGTTTCCTTAATGAAGGAATAAACAGATTTGAAGAGGTTTTCTTTAGCTGAGAGATTTCGCGGCAAGTTGAGTGTGACGGTTGATTTTCCGTTAGAAGGTTTAGATATGAGTAATTACGCGGCCGATAATATCACTCCCTGTCGTTACAACTTGTATGCCATTTCGAATCATAGTGGTACGACGTATAGTGGCCATTATACGGCTTATTGTAGACATCCGTACACTAAAGCCTGGCATGAGTATAACGATTCAAGGTTGGTATTTACAGTCAAGGTTTGAGTCTTGGCTAAATTGAGTTTTAGGGTGTCGTCGATTTCATCAAAGGCGATCGTAAGCGGCGAAGCTTACGTTCTTTTTTACGAACAAGAGGGACAAAAGTCGCATCTATGAAATAGTTTTTATTTAACCCCAATTTTAATTTATTTCCCAGTGCTCCCTATATATTATATATTTACTTTTTCACTTTCTTGAGAACAGAATCTTATAAATTTTTTATTAATTTTATTGTATGTAGTAAACGTGTGGTTTATTTATTTATTTAATGAAAGTGTGGGAAAAGTTTTCCAGTGGTTATAATCTAGTCTGACTTTTCCATTTCTTTTTGTTTTGTTTAAATTGTTAGTATAGATCGTACTTATTTATTAAAAGTTGTTGATATTACGTACCGAGAGGGGTATTTGAAATATTTTTATGTCATTAGATCACCGATTTGTTCTACCTCTGATGCAAAAGCTTTTTTTAGAGTAGAATTTATAAATCGTTACCAAATAGAGAAAATCAGGCACTTGTATAAAAGTGAAAGTACTCGGAAAAGCTTTATAAATTGTTCAAAGCACTAACTTAATAAACTGTTTGCAAAACTTGTTTTTTACCGCCTTAATTTGAATTTGTTTCATTATAGATTGTTTTATTACCGATACAGCTTTTTAGTTCAATTATTTAAAAGTGGGCCAGGTGGCGCCACCTGTTGAACAAGTACAGACGTACGCTTAAGTGAAAGTTGAGGTTAGCGCTCATGCGTTGGAGAGAGAAAGTGACAGGGTGACGCGTGTCGTAGCTTCTGACACAGTTAAAATTGACAATGACAGTTACGCCACAAACAATATCGAAAATTCGAATCAAATCTTGTTCTAATTGTGTTTTTTAGTTAAAACTAGCGTTTTAATGTATTGGTTTACAAAATGCCCGCGTCGATTGGAGTTAATTTGCGTGTGACGGGGCACTGTCGTCAAGGGGGCAGGAAATACATGGAAGACTTCTTTTCAGTGGCTTATCAACAAACCGAAGACGAGCGAGACTTAGAGTATGCCTTTTTCGGGATTTACGACGGACATGGGGGCGCCGAGGCCGCCGCCTTTGCTAAGGAGCACCTCATGGAGACCATAATCAAACACAAGACTTTCTGGTCGGACAACGACGAGGACGTCTTACGGGCCATTAAAGACGGCTACATTGCCACACATTACGCCATGTGGAAGGAACAAGGTTAAAAAACCGTTTTTGACACTCAAAACTCACTTTTTCCTTGTTAAAAAAAGTGAGGTTATGTCATCTCACTGGATAAATTTGGACAAATCGGGGGTTAATTTGGCATTTATGTTGTAGAAAAGTGGCCCAGGACGGCGTCGGGGCTCCCTAGTACGGCAGGGACCACAGCCAGTGTGGCTTTCATACGCAGGGGCAAAGTTTACATCGGACATGTGGGGGATTCAGGGATTATTTTAGGTGCGTTTTTGACGATTTGAGGGAAAGTGGGAATTGAGTTGGTGGTTTTAGGGTATCAAGAGGAGGGCTCGACCGAGTGGAGAGCAAAGCCCCTCACGAGGGACCACAAACCCGAAAATTTGGACGAGATGACGAGGATTAATCAGTGTGGCGGGAAAGTTGTCTCGAAATCAGGTCAGTGCTAAAAAAAAAGCTAATTAAAGAAATTATTCAGAAAGAGGCGCCCAATTTTTTGAGGTTATGACGTTTGTTTTGATTTTTGACGTAATAAGGGGTGGGGGAATTGCAACTTGACATTTGGTGATAAAAATGTCAAAAATTAATACATTTTTGGTAAAAAAAAACATTTAAAAGGTGGAATTAAGTTCAAAAGCGTTTTATTTCAACATTTTTTTCGAAATTATTCAATTATCCGTACACTCAAGGGGTTTATTAGCGGTTTTTGTCGTCAAGTTGGTGACTCTTACTTTAGTGTTATAAATTAAACGTCAAGCAGTGTTGTCTGATCAAAAACATAAAATTCACCAGATCCGAGTTGAAAGATTTGCCAAATTTTTACCAGATTTGTTTGGCAAAATCTCACAAAAAAACTCTTGAAAAAAGCAGAAATGACATGATTTTCTTCCTATTTCTGTAATTTTTTGGCTTGTTTCCAACACAATTTTACGAAATAATTGCGTTGAAAAACGTGCTCGAAAAAAAAGCAAAAATAATTGATTTTTGACTTAATTTGTTGATTTTTTAGTGTTTTAGCAAAATCTAGCAAAAACCTGATTTTTTAGTAAACGTACTTATTTTTGGCCAAATTTTGTGGTTTGTCAGTTTATTTTTGTCTCAATTTTGTTCAAAAACCATTTAAATAAAGTGGAACAAAAAAAAAATAACATCACTATCAAACCTTTTTGTGATTTTTTGGCGTATTTGGACAAGATTTTGCAAAATAAATGAACCCTTGGTTCAGAAACAAAGTAAATCGAATCCGTTTCGATTTAATTTTGTAATGTTTTAGCCTGTTTTAACGCAATATTTCGAACTTTTTGTGTTTTTATCTCACAAAAACATGCATAAATACTCGAAAATGGGCAAAAACGCAGTTTTTGGGCTACTTTGTTAAATTTGTGGCTTGTTTTTAATAAAATTTTACAGAATAATTGTGTTTCTAAATAGCTGAAAAAGCATTCGAAAATAACATAAATAAATTGTCATTTTTGACTCTGTTTAGTAATATGTTGTAAAAAACAAATGAACTATTTTTAACCAATTTGGTGGTTTTCGATTTTTTATTCCGAGAAAATTTGACGAAATAATCAAGTTACAACCTAAGAGTTAGGTAAAAATATCATAATATAATCTTTTCTTATAACAGCTTAGTGATTTTTGACACGCTATAGCAAACTTTCGCGAAAAAAACAGAGTTTTCAGCTTAAAACTCTGCTTAAACATTTGAAAAAGGAAAAAATTATATCATTTTCGGTCTAATTCTGTGTTTTTTTGGCTTGAGTTTAGCCAATTTTACAAAATAATTGCGTTTCTAGCTGAAAGACGTGCCAAATTAATGTAATTTTCGGCTTAATATGTTAATTTTTCAGTTCGTTTTAGCGAAATTTTGCAAAAAAAAAAAACTGAGATTGTTGTACAAACACGTGCTTTAAAAACATTCTTGGTTTATTTTTGTGTTAAATCGAAAGAAACAAACAAAATAACTTTAATATCATTTGTTTTTGTGATTTCTAAGCGTGTTTAGACAAGATTTTGCAAAGTAAGTGAACCTCTGGTTCAAAAACCAAGTAAGTCGAGCGAAACAAGCTAAAAATAATATCAATTTCAATTTAATTTTGTAATTTTTTGTTTTTATCTCAAAAACGTGCTTAAATAATTCAGAAAAGCAAAAATAACGCCGTTTGTAGTCAAATTTGTTGAATTTTTGGATTGTTTTAAAGGACATTTTGCGAAATAATTTCTAGCCAGTGAAAAAGTATTCGAAAAAGACAAAAATAAATTGTCTTTTTCGATCCTTTCTAGTAAAATCTTATAAAAAAAAAACAAACAGAACTCCTTTGAACCAATTTGGTGGTTTTTCGACTTTTTTGAAAAAAATTGACGAAATAATTAAGTTTCTGGTTGAAAACGTAGAAAATGCTCGAAAAACCACCAGATATTAGAATTTTTAAGTTAAGTTTAAATTTTCATGAAAAAAAAAAATAAATTTCACCACACCTGACAACACACACGTCAACGTAATTTACATTTTCAATGTTGCTAACTAATAACACAGACTCGGTATTACAAGGATTAATAATTTATGGTTGCCAACAGTTTTTTTTTTTTGCTATAATTATTGATTAGAGGGTAAATTTAGACAGACATTTTTGACACTACAATAAACACGTGAATCTGTTTTTTTTTTTACATATTCCCCTACATTTTTAGTGTTGTGTGGAAAATTTTTTTACTGTAATGGCGCTTGGAGGGGAGGTAAACTCTAGTAATAGTCCATCTAGGGGAATCTCAAGTTGTAATGTTTGTTTGTGGCAATTAAAAAATTACACTACCCAACAATTTTCTTTTTTATGTGATTGATTTATTGACACGTGTCATATTTTGAATTGATTTGGCTCAATTTTAAGTTGGGAATTAAGGTAAATCAAAGTATTTCAACCAAATACTTTCTCTAATAAGAGTTTTCTTTTAAAATAAAGCAATTTGAGCTATTTTCAATCCAATTTTGCTCGATTTTAATATTGATTGATTTATTGACACGTGTATCAGGGTACATTAACATCTCTAATTACGAATTTTATAAGAAAAATTCTCCATCACGTACAGATTTTAGGTTACAGGCAAATAGTTTTCTCAAATTTTATCGTAAAAATTGTACATTTCAAATAGAATTTAATTAAATAGACGACAAAAGAAATTAATTTACTCACTAAACAAGAACAATGTTGAAAGATGCATAAGATTCTAACATAAATCTGTTGTAGATGCGTTTTTTGCAAAAGCTGACTTTTTTTGTAAGGGTGTTTTAACTTCTCTTATCAGAAACCAGCAGTAATCCTCCATCATAGCTGGATCCCATCTCCCTTGGTACCCCTTTTCCATCGTCAATATATCCTGGTGGAACCTTTCCCCTTGCTCGTTACTAACGGCACCCAAATTTGTAGGAAAAAAATTAAATGAGAATTTATTTTATTTATCATTTTTGAATTTAGCACATAGAATTGAACAAAAGATAACTGTTTTCTTCTCAGTCCCAAAATGCTTGTTGGTTAGTGTTATTCATTGTAATGGCGCTTGGAGGGGAGTTTGGCCAGTAATGGCCGCTGTAGGGGAAACCGATTGTAAGTTTGTTTTTGTTGGTAGGGGTGCCCCGCGTGGTGTGGAACCGACCAAAGATGGGCCACCAGGGCCCCGTTCGTCGCTCCACCCCCATCGACGAGATACCCTTTCTGGCGGTGGCACGAAGTCTCGGTGATTTATGGTCGTACAACTCGCAAATCAACCAATTTATCGTGTCCCCTGATCCCGATTGTGCCGTCTTCACCATCGACACTTCAATCCATCGGTGTCTTGTTTTCGGTACAGATGGTCTTTTCAACATGCTCAGCCCCCAGAATGCCGTTCATATCGTCCAACAGGCCGAACGTCACAACGAAAACGCCGCTCTCAGCGACTCCATCAACAAAACGTGGCTCAATCCCAGTAAACTCCTCGTCGAGAAGGCGCTCGAAAGGTGGCACAATACGAAAATGAGGGCTGATAATACGTCAGTGGTGACGTTGATGTTGGACCCGCCGGGGCCCCCAAGAGCGCAAGTGTTGAAAAATCGCAAGAAAAACGCATATCCTGATAGTGGTTTGGAAATTATGACTCGGTATGAGGAAATCGTCACGAAGTTGAAAGAAGGGGAGGGGAGTGATGATCATGTGACTGCTCCGCCCACTCTATCGACCAATGAGGATGCAGAGGCGAGTTCAGTGACGTCGAGTGAGGTTACGTCGAATTGTTTTCCGTTGAAAGAACGGAATTTTGCGTCGAAACCGCGCGAAAGTACGAGTTTTGATCCGAAGGAAGTTGAGGATAAGGAAAATAAGGATGAGTCGATTCAGATTAATGAGATTTCGTCGAGTTCGAACGAATGTGATGAGAATTCGAATGAGACGCCGATACATAATTTGAGGAGTGGGAGTAAGGGGAGGGTGGTGAAGAAGTGTGATGATGGGTTGACGAAATTGAGGAAGAGTAGTCGATTAGCGCACGAGAAGAAGACGGCGAGTGCGTTGAAGGGTAAGCTAACGCTGGCGCAAAGGATACTCAGGAGTAAAAAGATTTCGATTAAGAAGAAGGTGCAAGTGGCGAAGAAGAGATTAATTAAAGCGAAAACAAGTACAAAGAAGAGTGCGAGGAAGAGTCTTCGGATTAGTACCACGAAAGGTGACGATGGGTAATTTGTTTTGTTTTGTTTTTTTATTTGTTTTTCCAGGTGTAAAGTCGAAATCGCCCCCCAAATCAATGCCAAAAAGGAGCGACGTGCAAAAAAATCGCAATCGAAGATTGCCACGTAAGAATTAAACCATTGATGGTTATTTTTAGTTTTAATTTTTATTACTAAGATGGAAAACATCTGCGTGATTTTTTATACATATTATAGTTTTATTTTTTTCTTCTCAAGTGTTCGCATAAGTTTTAGTTTTGTGTTATTATTGCGGAACCTGTTAACTCTTTAGTTTTTTTTTTGTGTCATGGAAAGACTACTAAAACATATTTTGTGCCTTTGTTACCAAATGTTGGAAAAAATAAATGTGTTAATAAACTTAGGCGAAACAAAGAAATGTATATTTATAATAAATGAGGAAATGTATTATTTTCGCAATTGAATAAATTTATAGTTTTAATTGTTGTGTTTATTTGACAGAGTAAAAAAGTTACCTAAAAAGTCAGTGTTTTTTTTTTATTTTTTCTTTTGAAAGAGGTGAGTAAATTTTTAAAAATTTAATTAAAATTGTAAAACCTGAGTTCAAATCTGTGTTACAGTTTTCTGTAATGCAACTAGTGTCATCTATGCCTCAAATTTCTAAAATTTTACAGAAACCTGTAGAAAAAAGAAAACTGTTTTTAATGAAGCTTGTTTTTGTGATATTTTTTTAAATTTGGGATACCTCTTCGCATTTGTGTTCCTGATACCTACTCCTGCTACTTAAAAAATTTTGCAATTTTTAGCGAAACTTTAAATTTTTATTTACAAAGGATCAGGAATGAAGAGAGGTATTTTGGCGGGAAATTCAAATTTAAAACTCCCGCCAAAATACCTTTCCGCGTTTATGTGATCCTGGTACTCCTGATACTTTTTCAATTTTTACGATTTTTAGCAAAAATTTATATTTTTATTTAAAAATTAGCAGGTGTAACAGGATTATAGAAATCCGAAATGGTATTTTAACGGTAAATTTAAATTTAAAATTCCCTCCAAAACACCTCATCGCCGTTCCGTGAAATTGAATAATTTTCGAGCAAAAATTTCGATATTTTATTTAACAAATAGCACGAATAACATGATCATAGGAACGTGAACAGGTATTCTCAATTTTTTGTGACCACGTTCAAATTTTGGGAATGGGGAAATGTATTTTTTCAAATAATTTTCCAATCTATTTATTTTCTTTTATTTATTTGACAGATTAAATAAATATACAGTATCACATAGAAGCTCAAAGAAAGTGAAATAAAGTTATATTTATAACAGTGAAAAAGAAAACTAGAAGTAAAAAAACGTAAAAATATATTAGAAAATCATTTATACACAAGAATCACATCCTCATCAGTCCCGTAACTCTTCCTTGCTTCTTCCAAAACATCCACCGACATGACACACACTCCTGAAACAAAACGAGTTACCAAGAGTTCCATACAATATTTTTTAGCTTTCTTACTATCACCAAACGACGGATTTCGATAGTAGACTTTCTTCGAGGCCAATTCATACCCACATAATACGATATAGTGACCTTGGTAAGGTATAGGCCACGGTATACACTTCCTCAACTCGGTCGAAATCTTATTCAACTTGCAAACATCACAATTTAGAAGTCTCGCATTCGTTAAGACAATCACAGGACCGTTGATTAAATGATCCAAAAGGGTTTGCATCGAAACTGATGCTCTTTCGACCAAAACACCACTAGTTTTCGCCGTTTCGAACCTCTGGTTGACCCGAGCTTCGTCCTATTGAATTTTCATGGTTACCCCATTTTCACCACAACTCGACATACCTTAGTTAAAATATTGTGGTAGAAGCTGTTACCCCTGTATCCTGGATGTACCCCCAAAGTGACTGTATAGAAAACATGACCAACTTGATACCGTTTCAACAAATAACACAAATCAATAGTCCACGTGCTCCCATACACTCCTTCTTCTTGACAAATTTTGGTGAAATTCTTCAACAAGTGGTGACGCTGCCTCCTTGGGAGGACCATCAACACGCACGAAATGCCACAGTCCCAATTGTACTTCTGTTTGAAGTGGAGGAGTTGAATATGAAGTTTTTCAGGATGACCTGTTTAAAATTACAGAAATGAAAACAAAAAAATCTTTTTTCAGACCTGGCTTCAGGACGAGTTTTCGCATCGTGACTCAACTCAGTAGCATTTTCAATAAGAGTGATAATTGGGTTATCCGCGAGATAATTGATTTTTTTAACTGGGCAACAAACAATTTTTTTATATCGCGGATATCACACTGATAAGGAGCAATACAATGAACAATAAGCGAGAATAATGGCGAATTAAGGTCAAAATGCACAAAATGCAATTACTTAATAAATAGCAGAAAATTATAAAATTAAATAATAAACATTCGCTGTGTGAATGCTCAGACAGGATGAATCATTATTATTTTTCTAAAAATAAATATTAGCAAAGCAAATGTTTATTTTTGTTATAAATGTCACAAAAAACACAAATATACTCTTTTTCATATTAATGTGCATCAAATAGGTTGTAGTAAGTAGTCTAAATGAATCTGTAACTTAAAGCCTGATTTACATAAAAAATTCAGAACAAATTTAAGTACATTAATAACGACAAAAAACTTGTTGTTAGCCACCCTTTGTTAATTACGTTGTTAATTTTAATTATTTTTTGCTACCTGGGGACACATTTATTTGAAAAAATAATTGTTAGGGAAATTTGAGGTTAGGATTGTTTGAATTTTTGCATGATTGCCACCTTAAAATGATCCCTTTCAACGACTACTTCGAAAAAATTGATGAAATCGTCTTTTATTGGACCCATTAGTACAATCTGTTATCAGAATAAATTCCGATAACCCAATTACTAATTTATTTAATCTGAAAGATTTTTTTCTTCTGTTTTACGCTTTTAACAAGGCTATTAACGAACTTGTTTGGGTACGTTAAAAAACTAGTGTATTTTTTGTTTCAAATTTTGGTAACAATGAAATTACTTTCAACAACTTTTCTGAATTTTCAGTGGCGAAGATGAAAAAATCTTGAATTCATTAATACCAACCTTACTTTAATGACGTATAATTATTATTATTAATGCGTTAACATTACAGAAAATTGGAATAAAACTTCGCGGTGGATTCATAGTGGCCATTTAATTTATCTCAAAGTTGGCAGCACTTAGCACGCCACTTCTATTATGTGGGTTGTGTCAAAGTTGGTCGCAGAAATGTCAATAATTGTGACAGGCGCAATAGATTTTATATTGTCGTATCAACAAGAAATTACTCCCTAGAATTTAGGGATATTCGTGAATAGGTTGCCATAAATTTGGTTAGGTTGGTTTCTGGTGACAAACAAAAGATAAAAAGATATCGTAACTAGTGTCAAAAATTAGGTTAAGTCACCTGTCAACTTGAATGGATAATTTAATTGATAGTTGACAGCAGTAGGTTGACAGAAAACGTCAACCGTCAGCAACACGGTGTTACCAACCATAGACATTCAAAATTACTTCTGAAAATTCTAGTTACAAACAACATAAAAAACTTAATTTTCCTAAAAGTTCAAATCCTAGATGGTAATTTTTTGTTGACAAACATGTATGTGAAGTACCCGACTTTTTTAGAATTGCCATTTTTGATAGCTATGAAAGTAAAAAAACAATTGGATGTTTAACGTCGGATTTACACAACTCAATTTTTACAAATTTACATAGGAAAGTGGTCACTATGAATTGACCGCGACTTTAGTAATTTTGCTACTGCAGGTTGGCGACAACTAAAGGCGGCTTCACACGTTTACTTTACGTGTCACTAGTTTTATTTCGAATAATTACTTGTGCAAAATTACCAGCAGTAAACGAGAACATAGTTTATTGTTGAGAATTCATTAGTAACATTTTGAAATTGTCGCCTTTTTGTTGACAGGTGTGAACTACCCTTTACCGTGACGTCATCATACATGTTGGCTAACTTGACGTCATCATACATGTTGGCAATAAACAAGCGCCAAATTCAATTTTGCACGGGTCTCAACTCACTCTTATCGCAACTGATAAGCCGTGACGCGACAAAATATCATAAACCCTATCACAATAATCGCAAATCTTGTCAAACACTCACACAATAACCTCTGATAAGCGTTATCACGTAATGTAAACATTTACCCAGCCGTTTCCCAAATCCCCTTCAAGTTTACTTACCCTTCGAACAAATCTCGGTCATAATTCCACTCTCGTACGTGTCACAAATTGAAAAAACTCACAAAAATCCTCTCGCATTTCGTCAACAACGACCGTGAAGTTTGAGGTTATGTTCTAACCTTGAGCCTTGACACAATTCCTAAAGTTGAAGGTTTTCCATATACGAAACAATGCACACACATGTCTTATCTCGTTAGAGACTCAGTCAGTTCAAGTGTGACCGTGAAGGGGTCAAAATGTGTATCTTGTTTGTTTACACGGACCCCAAACCCCCTAAAGGGGGCTATAGACTAATCGTGGCCTCAAACCGGGACGAGTACTACAAAAGACCGGCCAAACAAGCCTTCCGGTGTCCCCACACAAACATAATCGGAGGTAAAGTCCACTCACAATAACCTAAAAATGAGCCCCGTTTTTCCAGGTCGGGACATGGAACCGGGACGCGAGGGCGGCATGTGGCTCGGACTGTCCCTCAAGCCCCAAATGGTGAAATTCGCGGCGCTTTTGAACGTCACTGGAGCCCCCAAACGAGAAGCACAAGCCGGTCGAGGCCCCCTCGTCTACAACTACCTCGAAAGCGAGCAAACAGCCACTGAATACATCGCAAAACTAGCCCCCGAACAACTTAGCGCTTTCAATTTATTCATGTTAGAAATCTCAAACGATGTGATTTGTTATCACCACAGTAACTCCCCTGAAGACACACTCACTTACACCGGACGCCAATTCCTCGCTTTCGGAAACAGTACCCCCCAATCACCCTTCACTAAAGTCAAAATCGGGGGGGAAAAATTCCAAGAAATCGTCACAAAACATGGGGGCAACCGGCCTCAACTAGTCCACGAACTAATCCAATTGTTGAAATGTCGAGACTTGCACCTCCCCGACCCCGAATTGCAGACAAGAGCCCCGTTCGGGGTTGATTTCCTGAGCGCTATTTACGTGCGGATGGAACAAGGGGGTTATGGGACACGCACCCACTCCGTGATTCTAGTCGATGATGAGAACAACATCGAGTTTGTTGAACACACAATGAAAGAACCAATAAACCCACAGGAGCCCCAATGGGACGTTACAACAATCCGGGCGAAATTTTGAGGTTAGCTGTCATTCTATTGACAACCACGTGTGTGAAAGCTAAAAATTCCCTACGAACTATTATATACAGCGTGTCTGAATAAATAATCGTATATTTTTATCAAAGCAATGAACATAGTTAAATTCTGTTCACGGTAAACATATTTAAAAGTGTAACAATAAATTTTAATCAAATACAAACTTAAAGTTACCCAAAGAGAGACAACTGTACGAGTAAGTACAAGCTTGAAATGAATTTAACAATTTCTCTTTACAACAAAAATAAAATCGAGCCGGTCTACAGTTGCCAGAGCCGTCGATTCGATTATTATATCATCGGTATAAAATCTAGCGCATTACTAGCTAGACTCTCTAGTTATTCAAAAAAATCAAAATGACTTAGCGCACTTGAATACAACTATTTTACATTAATTAATTACGGTTTTGGCTGTTTGAAATTGTGATTTTCAAAGAGTAAAACCGTGGTTTGAATCAAAAAAATAAATAAACAATGTTAAAGACCAACTTTAACGTGATATCTATTTAAGATGGGGGCGCATTGTACGTTGCAATTCCACTTAAATGCCACAATACGCCCGATATACATGTCTAATATACATCAAACATTTTTTTATGATTTTTCTTCCATAATCTATACAAACGCTACAGCGATACGACGTGTCTCTCCTACACTATGCACAGCGTCTTCAAAAATCAAAAAAGCCTACAATTTTGGTACATAATACAGCTATGTTACAAATTTTACATTATTTATATCTTAATCGACCCCTTGATAAATTAAAAATCAAAATAAATAGTCACCCTTTTCGAGCATTGTTCCCACAATTGCACTATACACAATTTGACTAGTATTTATAGCAAGTCATCATAGTACTGCACTTTACCGTTCGATAAATTCACAAGTGCTTCCTCCCAGGCTGCAAAAAAAAAAAACAAACTATAGACCCACCTCAAATTCGAAAATTCCAAATTCCTTACCTGCACCAATAAAATGGACAATTTTATCGTGATTGTGCGATTTTGTCGTGTATGTTTCCGGTGCGACATATCGCGAAATGAAATCGTCGCAACAAAACTCTTTATTGTTATCTTCGGAAAGTAGTTGTTCGTTTATATCGAAACCGAACACCAATCCCGGCACCTCTTTGCTGTTGCCTAAACCGCTCAAGATGACGACCGGAGGACGATGATGGTTGTTATCTATCGTAGTTCTTTCACATGGATTATCACAGTCTACACTACAGTCATTGCCGTTGTTAAGGGGGCTGTCGTAACCTTGATTCATCAATTGCATCTTTTCGATTGTTTGAACGTCGGGGATGTCCGGCGGTAAGGAACTGCTGTAGCCCATCATCGGGTCGGAATCCTCCTGATTGGGGGGCGGCTGAGAGAAATTCCACAACAATGGCATTATTTTTATTTCATACACTGTCATCACTCGAAGCTTCAACTTTTTTTGTCTTAAGTTTGAAGAATATTATAACATCGACAAAAAATCAATTGGCAGCCCTGAGTTACTGAGATTTGACGAGAAAATAATAATGTTGCCAACTTAATTTCAAATTCACAGGCCATATACAAAAATTTTGATAAAACAAACTTTTGAAAATCTTATTTTACGAATTAAAAATACAGGCTGCGCCAGAACTCGTGTCCACAGAAAAATGCCATATAAGGTAAGATCCCAAAAAGTTCTTTTTTCTTTAAAAATCTGTTTTGTATGTTTTGTTTTTTAATTTTCACTCTTATACAGGCTGAATAAATCTTAAAAAACAACATGTCAAATAAAATCATTTTTAAAACATAATATTATCGCCTCCAGTTTGATTCTTCTTTTTTTTTTTTAAATTACTGTACATACAGGATGCGCCAGAACTCGCGGCCCAGAGAAAAATGCCATATAGGGTAAGATGCCAGGAACATGTAAAAAATGTTAAAAAAAATTTATCTATAAAAATTTTGAAGTTATGAGAGTTTAAATTTTGCACTTTGCACACATTTATTTCTGTTGGAAAAATAATTTCCCAAGTTTTTTTGTTATAGGCTATTAAAAGAGGAAACAAGGAAGCTCTATCCTGAATTGTAAGTCTGTTTAATGTTATTTGTAGCTTTTATTGGTAAAATTTATGTACCTTTACTAAATAATGTAAAAATACATATACAAGATCATCAGTACCATTAAATACACATAAAAAAATGTCAAATGTCAAAAAATAAATGTTAAATTTTAGATAGAATTTTTTAGACATTTTTTCTGTGTTCTTGGTATCTTACTTTAGTTGAAAATTTTCTCTGGGGCGCGAGTTCAGGCGCACCTTGTATAGAACGTTTCATAATGATTGACATCTAGGCAGGCGTTGAGAGTGTAAACTACTAGACTGCAATTTTAATTCCAAAAATGTTACTAAGGTGAACATTTTTTAGATCGCAATAAGTCATAAAAAATGACATTCAGTCTGAAAAAATAGCATAACCTATTTGTCCGAAAGAAATGTGGAAGAAATGTGAAAAAAAAAGGAGATAGAAGAGAAAAGGCACAAAAAAACAACAAATGTCACAATTTGTAAACCAGTGGTTTTAATCGCACAAAAATGAATAAACTAGAACTATCAAAGATCAAATGTTGCCACCTTGAATTTGAATTGCATGCATGACCTACCGAGATGTCAATCGGTCAATCATTTTGTTATACCAGAAAGCAAAAAATAAAAAAAACGCGTATTTCACCGTTTTCTGTTTTTTTGATGTGTTGAAAAAACAGGACCATACAAAATTTAGTGCTTCAAAGTACAAAAATATATCTCAAAAACACACTGAAACGATTTTTTTTTTAATAACACTTACGTATAAATACCGGGTGACTAAAAAATGTGACAAAAAAATCTATTGGCAACACTGAATTATCTTTTCTATATCTGAATGCAGTCGCCCGTCGCAAATGAGTGACAATTGTCTATAAAATTTTGACGTTTAAATTTGAAAGTCATGGTTGCCAAACTAAAATTTTAAATTTGACACCAACTTAAGGAAAAAAAAACAATCATTTACAATCACCCTGTAGGTTGTACACTATGGACGTAAACTAAATGTGTCATAAACAATTAGTTCAAAAATATATTGTTTAAACGAAAAAAACAATTATGCATATTTTTAAAATTATTAAAAAAATTTATAAAAAGTTATTTTCAAAACAGATGTAAAAAGGGCTGAAGTTTTTCTTCAATCATAATTTTAATTTTTTTACCGTAGCTTCCTTAAAAGTATTCTTTGGGAAATAAATATGTTAATAAAAAAAGTCGTCTACTACGGAGTTATGTCAAAAATTCAACAATTCAGAATCACCAAAAAAAAAAAAACCGTTTTATTTATTTCGTATTAAAAAAAAAAGAGATCAATATGAAAAATCTCACCGTTTCTGTCACAAAATCGGAGCGAAATTTGATACTAAACCTAAATAAAATCCCATTATTTCTAATTAGCTTAATTCAATGTTTTAATCAATAAGCTGTAACGACTTTTTTTTCTAAATTTTAAAAAAATAGCAATTATTAAAACAAAATTATTTTTTAAAACAAAAGATCAGACTAAAAATTCCACCACTTTCTAAATAAAAGAGAATTTAGGTAATTAAGTAACAATAGTTTCTTTTTTTTCCATATAATCACTGGGATTCAAAACATAATTTATAGCATGTCAGCGTTATTTAATACCATTATGCAACAGTCGTAAATTTAGCAGATAAACATGAAACGTAATTTAATCCTTTGAATAATTAAACTCTGATATGTGTTGTTATTATTATTATTACTGTAAGATATGTATGACAACCAATCATTTTTTTTATTTTAAACCACATGACTGTAATATTACCTCCTCCACTTACCTTAAACTCATTCGTTGGTTCTCCGCCCATTTTATTAACGTTATTTTTAACGTTTTTCACATTCACATTTTTCACCTTATTGCTACACTTGTTTTTATCGGTTGCGACGACGTACACTTGTTTCGTAATCGCTGGAAAATTCTTACTATTATGAAAATCAGGTGGCGTATTTCTAACACTAGAATCACACACGGGAACGGTGGCAATAATTGCACATCTACCGTCCGTAATTGTCTCTTTTGGCACAATTTTATCGCTCAATTTTCTCTCTTTCGTTTGTTTATCGTTTGTTTTCGCCATATCAGCATACGAAATCGGTCTCGACGTTGCCAAATCAAGTCTTTGAGTATCAATAGGTAACGAATGCACCGAATCGACATCTGATGAATCGTTTGATTTCTCGCTATGGGGCACTGAACACGCCGATTTACGTCGTGGTGACGGTCCACGAACGCTACTTTTCGAATTAGGATTAGATGATGTTTTCGTACGACCGCTGATTGAATTGTGACGCTTTTTACTCTTCTTTTTCTTGGTGACGACACGAAATTCGGCACTTTCAAGATTCTCAGCCGAATTGTATAGATTTTGAAGGGGTAGAGGCTCCATGTTACCCCACGAACGACGTTCGCGAGGCTTATCAATAACATTCTTATTGTTCCGTAAGACAACATTGTCTTTATTAAACTCGAAATCGTCTAAATTCGTCGTGGAAATCTCACCGAGTGAATTGCTCTTTTTCAATTTCGATCGATTGTCTTTCGATTTAGACGAATGTGCACGTTTTTTCGATTTGGTGGTGTCGTCGCTCGAATGTCGATTTAATTTCGATTTAATCGAGCGATTTTTCTCAGATTGGTCATTGGGAATACCGATAAACTCCATTAGTTTTTCCATATCGTTGATGATGTCGCTACGGTGCCCCTTTACGTTTTCGGCATTACAAACAACAACGTTTTTATCGGTCAAAACTTTCTTTTTCTTTGCTTTTAGCGACGTTTGATGAAGGGCGTTACCATTTTCGTCCACCTTCTAACACAAACAAACAATCACAAAAACGTAAATTTTAGACACAAAATCATACCTTTGACAACTCATTCGAAATACGAATTGTTCCAGCACAATCAGGCCCTACAATTTGTGCAATCGATTTATTCGGAACGCAATTTTTCCTATCGACTGTCTGCTCCAAATGGGGGATTTGAATGGGGCCGTCCACCTCGTCTGCAACAAGTTTCACACGAATTAAAAACAATCAAACATAACCACACTTTTTTCATTATTTTGATCAAGTCACCACTGACGTGCAGGTGGTAAATAATCACCTGATTTGTAAAACATTAACCACATTTTCTATTAAATCAATTGTTCATCACCGCAAATATATGAAACGTTCCAATTTAGTTAATTATTCACTTTTTTCTAAAAAAAAAAATTGTAAAAATCCAAATAACTAGCACAATTTAACTGCACTGCCAACCGCGCTACACCAAAATCACTAGATTGCCAAAGGGTAAGTTTGGGGAGGGTTTCTGAGGCCCCAATTTAATAATTGACATTAAAAATGCAAATCAAATAACAAGTGTTGCCAATCGTGCAAAGTTGAAATCACCAAGTGAAGAAATTTTGTTTTTTGGCCGAAATCGTCACTATGGAAAAGTACTTACTATAAGGGCCGCCCCTAGACATCAATACATGGAAAACTGGTACTCTCGGTTGCAGCCCTTGCTTTTCCACGGTCCGATTTCGATCAATGTCTTCGTATTCTGAAACATCTACCAAACGATGCATTCGTTTTCCTGCACCCATTTCAAGTAATAATAATTTTATTGGCAAAAATCTAGTGTCATTTATGCACGCTTGCCAACTTGAGAGATTTCGCATGTCATCGCGTTCTAGCTGTCACTTGTCAAAAAAAAAAATACTTACTGACTTGAAGAGAGGCCCGTGTTGTAAATTTATACTGTTGTTGCAATTCGTTGCTTTTCTCTTGATAGTTTTGATCGAGAGTATCGTGTTCGAGGAGTCTTTGTTCTTCAACAACTTCTGGTTTCTTCTCCGACATTTGTTTCTTCTTGCGAGCTTCTTCAAGAAATTGGTATTCGGGGCCAATCGTGCTTGAATTCACATTACACGGTAGACTCCCTTTTAATGAATAAATTAATAAAAATAAGTGATTAATTTAAGACTTACCCCCTTCTCGTTGTCTCGCACTCACACTCTTTTTGGTCCTATGTTTGGAAGTCTCAAAGAGCTCCTCTTTGGCCAAATTATCGAGACTCCCTCCGTGCATCATATTCTCCGAAATTGAGCTCGGTTTTTTCCGATGTCTTGAATTTCGCTTTGCTGAGGGGTTACAATATCTGACCAATTCGGAGCCCCCGGCACGAGCTGCTCGTGCATTCCTCTCGTCTTCTTCAGCCTCGTTCAACAGGTGATTGAACAGTTTACTCTTGCCCTCCCTGTCTTTGGGGTTCTTGTAATTCAGGGCTTCGTCCAACAGCCCCTTGAGTTCGCCGTCGTTCAAATCGGACAAAGTCTGGAACAAGAGGGGGTGATTACGCCCAAAAATGCTACGTCACCAGTCATATAAACGGCAAATTGAGACACCAGGGGGCTTATGACCCCCACAAGTACCCTTTCAGTGTCTCAAATTGTTGAAATATCGCGAAAAGGGCCCGTTTGGTGGGGTGATAGGGCAGGGCGGGGGCCTCACCTTGTCGTCCTTGTTGTTCTCCTTAGGGCCACACTTGTCGTGTCGGGGCTTGTCAGGGGCCTTGGGGGCAGAGTCGTTCTCCGGCGAGGGGGCCATTCCGCACCGACAACGCTTCGAAATGGAGCACTCGTTCACGGCAAGGGACGCATCGCGATCGAGCATCAAACTGTCTGTCACATTTGTACAAATTTACAAGTCTACAAAACACACAATTTTAGTTGTTTTGGGGCGTCTGGGGGGCTTTTTCACGCGAACTGTTCCACATTTTCAACGACGGCCATTACAACACATTTTGCGAACAAATGACAACCGATGACGTCACGTGACACAACATCGCGACGAAGCACCGGAAAACTGCCACTATTCCGGACTTCCGGGCATCACACGGACTAAACAACACCCCAAGTTGGGGACACAGACGATTAAAAAAGTCTTTTCCGGGGATTAGACCATTGGTACACTCGAATCATATAACCTGCCACTTTTCAAACGACCTTGGAAGGGCGCATGCGCACACGGGGACAACTTCGGGCCGAAGTGACGTCAGGTATTTACTAAAAAATACAAGCAGCCCCAAAAACACAAAATCAACGAAACTAAACCATCACCACTACATTGTAGCACAAAAAAATTTTGTTTTAAGCGTAATTACCGGAAAATTTTTTGACGTAAAAACATTACTACCAACCTGACAAATAATAACAAACTTGAGACACAATTTACGATTATTTAAACGATTTGATTTATTTCAAGTGTTTGTTTAGTATTAATAGTCAAAACAACTCAAGTCCGTGTAATTATTAATTATCTTTTAATCTCAAAATAAACAAATTATGTGGAGTGAAGTTAGCGGGTTAGGCAACCAACAATACGCATGTGCGGTGACCCAATCGATGTAAATCCGTTAATTTCCATTTCGAGGACGCAATTCCGCAAAAAAACAACTTTTTGTGAAAATGGGAGACGAAAATATTTTCCTGTTTGTGCCAAACTTGATCGGTGAGTTTGCCCGAGTCACTTAACCTCAATTTGTCCGGTTATGTTTCAGGCTATGCCCGCGTTATTTTGGCCCTAATTTCCTTCTATTACATGCCCACAAACCACATAATTGCTGTAATTTGTTACGTGGTGTCTGCCCTTTTGGACGCTTTTGACGGTCATGCCGCCCGGTGAGTGGTGATAATGCCTGGGGCATAATCGAATTGTTTTTCGCAGATATTTCAACCAAAGTACGAAATTTGGGGCCATGTTGGACCAGTTGACCGATCGGTGTGGCACCATGGGGCTGTGCGCCGTCCTGGCGCACTTGTACCCCGATTACATGTTCTGGTTTATAGTCTCAATGTGTATTGATATTGCCTGTCATTGGATTTATTTACATGCGTGAGTGGGAAAATCGTGAGGAAAAGTGGATAAAATACTGTTTCAGATCGATTTTGCAAGGCAAGGCCAGTCACAAGTTCATCGATATGTCGGAAAATCCAATTATGAGTATTTATTACACTAATCGGACTGTTTTGTTCTGGATGTGTGCCGGAAACGAGGCGTTTTACGCCGCTTTGTACTTACTACATTTCACCCAAGGCCCCACAATTAGTAATTAACCGTATTTGGGGGCGATTTAATCTAATTGAGTTGATTCCAGTTGGGATTTCGCTGTTTAAGATCATTGTGTACTTATCAGCGCCGGTGGCTGTGGTCAAGTCGGGGATTTCCCTCCTACACCTTGTGGTGGCTTCCAAAAATATCGCAATTATTGACATAAACGAACGTAAACTCGTGAAAAAACAACACTAGAGTGGGTAATTCCCCCCTGAAAGCCAAAGAAAAGTCTCCTTTTATTAAATGTATCAAATACAAAAAAAAAAACTTATTATAATCAATAAATTAAAGTTTAGTCCCTAACAACTCTAATTTCGTTTCCTTCAAAAACCAAGTCGGTTTTCGAGGGGTAAACCACCCTCAAATTACCCTCAACATCCGTGCTTTTGACTTGTGTGACCTCCAGATCGTGCCCCACCAACATGACTAATTCCCTCAAAAGTGTCTCCATCGCCACTTTGCACAAATGCAAAGACAGGGAACTTGTCACCTCAATTAGTAAATTTTTAGTACCAACTTCGATTTTGGACACTTCTGAGTTGGTAATCGGGGGGAAGGAGATTACAGTCCCTTGCGAGTTTACGAGACAGGGGAATCGCGACCGCCCCTCGATTAAATACAAATATTTGTGAATCCCCGAATAGGTGTTGCGTTTTTTCTCTTTGCGTAGATTATTGGCTTCGGTTTGGAGTTTAGTGAAGAGGTCAGCCCCCGACATAGAATTGGGGCGATTAAGAGGCTGGATTTGGAGCTCAGTGGGAGGCAAAGTCGTGTATTTGAGGTCTCCTGGGGGCTACAAAACACACATTACTAATTGTGTGAATAACACAATTTTAGAATTACCAATTTATCGAAATCGTGAGTGGCAATTGTTGATGAATTTCGTTTAGAGCACACTGTTTCGTGGAGTTTATTCTGAATTTGGATGAATTTTTTAAAAGTTTCTTCGGTGAAAGTGACACTAGAGACGAGACAAGCCACTAGGAATTCTCTCACAGTTTTGACGCTCTCATCTAGGATGATTTTGGGGCTTTCTTTGGCGTAGTGGACCCGAATTGTGTGTTTGTACTCGTCGTTGTCACTTTCCGAGTCTTTGGTAGGCTTCGTGGCCCCCTTTTGCTCCGTTTTTGTTGCAGTTTTGGGGCTGTGGGCCTTGACGTAGTCTATGATTTGTTTCGTACGACATTGATCGATGAGTTTGAGGAGACGGCGGTCAGAAATTGGGTTATTTTTCAACCCCAAGACTAGAAAAACTAATAAGTGATTTTTTTCACTCAATTTTACCAACCTTTGAGTTTTGTGCAATCGGATAATTCGCCTGGGAGAGACTTGATTTGATTGTGCCCCAATTCTAGGACTTTTAGACTTGATAAGTGACCGATTTCAGAAGGGATTGTCCCAATTTCGTTTTCACTGAGCTTCAATTCGGATAAATTTGACAATCCTTCATTACACACCTGAGGGAATTTTGTCAATTTATTGTTAGACAAGTCTAGGACTGACAATTTCCGGGTGTTGTGCAACTCGGGGAAGTCCCCAAGACAATTAAAAGTGAAGTTAAAAGTCACAATATTGACCAAATTGTCAATTTCTGGGGACACCTCTTTGAGCTGATTCCTCGCCAAATCCAAAAGTTTCAACTTTTGTAACTTGGTGACCCCACTGTTGAGACTCTCTAGTTTATTAGAGTGGAGCACCAAAGACTGTAAGTTTTGCAGTCTGGCAATTTCGTCCGGTATGGCCCCCAGACTTGTCTCATGTATATCCAAGTAGTTCAACCCTGTCAGGGTAAAAATCCCAGGATCTAGCCCCTCCTTGCCGATTCGTTCAGCAATCTCGTTGCCCCCGAGCACCAACTCGTGGCGATTCTCACTTTTGGCCCTTTCGACCTCGGGCCACATTTCGAGGTTAAGTCACACGATTTTCACACAACTAACGCGAAACACTCGGGGGGTAAATTTGAGAAGCCCAATTGGGCAAAATTGCGCAATTTTCGCCGGAATTTCGGAGAAAACCACGGCGGGAAATAACATGAAATCGAAATTTCCCCAACTTTCCCCCAGATTTTTTGTAAAAGTCCCTAACTTTTTGGTGCTTTTTGCATTCTTTTGTCACTAGAAATCAATGTTGGTAGTCTGCAGTGCACGATGGGTAATGGCGTTTCTGTGTATGCCAGTGCATAATTTCGTCGAATAAATTGAAATAATGCCGCGATTTGGCCGCAATGTGAGTCTTTTTTTGGGCTAATTTACTTCACCTCACGGTTTTCTTGTTATCTTGTGCGTAAAAACGCCGAAATTTCGTGTAATTTCGGTGGGAAAAGCGTTTGAAAAAATGTTAATGTCATTTTTTTACATGAGTCAAGTCGCTCACTTTTATGTTTATTTTTGCAGTTTTTCGGGTTAGTTTGAGTTAATTCGGGGTGATTTTGATTGAAATAGGAGGCGAAGCCGTTATTTTGTCATTTGTGAGCGATTTTAGGCCGTTTTCTCGTTTTTTACAAGCTCGAAGCATTGTTAAAAATTCATAACCAAAAAATAAAAAAAGTCATTCTTTGATCGGTTCTTGAGTGTTAAGAGATTGATATGCGATTTGATAAGTCGGTTTGGGTTTATTTAGGACGGCTTTGTCGTGTTAGGGCGTTGGTTTGCGCCATATTTGCTCCAAAATAAAAATTTAGCCCCTTTGCATTACTCATCACCTGGTTAAATTCCTTGCAGAATTAGACTTGAATCGAGGATTTTTCACGAAAAACATGGATGAGGAGCTGGATAACATGTCCGGGAGCGACTTTGACGACGACGAGGACCCCGACAAGATCGAAGTTCCTGGTACTTACAATTTAAAAAAATAAAAATAAAAAAATATTAATTTTATTAATTCAGGTGGGGGCAAAGACCTAGCTGCCGCTGCTTCGATCCAGGAGAACCGCGAGTCGAAGTTGAAGCTTGAAGACATGCTGAAAAACGATACAAAACCGCCCCCTATGAACATGGGGGGTAATAGCAAAATGGGGGGTAATATGGCGATGCCCCCTTATGAAATGATGCGCAATCAGAGTAAGTTGCGTTTGATTTGATTTTTTCGTTGTGTTTGTCGGATTTGGGGTTAAAATTAAAAGATTTTCCAGTGGGTTCCCCCTACAGTATGGGCAGTATGGCCGCGATGGCCAGTATGCTCAGCAGTTTGGGGGGCCCCATGAATATGGGCTCCATGTTCCCGCCCTCAGGACCACAGGGTGGTTTCAACGCCGCCCAATTTCTCCAGCAGAGTAAGTCCAACTCGCTTAAACACTGTGAGTTTCGACCCCATTTTTGCAAAATTACGGATTGAAGGGATTAACACGAAAAGCATGGATTTTATTTGATTTTTTTTTTGTATTTTTTTCCGAGTAGGTAGATGTAGCATTAACCACAGCAGAGCAGGAATCGAAATTTATTTAAATTTCTCTGATTGGTTTATTCAAACGCATGTCAGACGCTTGTTTTGATTTTTTAGTGGTTTTATTTTACGTGTTGGCAGACTTGTAATGGATTTTCTGTTGGCAGTGGAAATGGCGGCAATGGGAATGAACAATCCCCACATGCAGAATCCATTTCTGCAGAACTTATCAGCGTTGCTGTATTCAAACCAGTTTGGGGCTCCGCCCTGGGGGACACAATTAAGTAATAAAGCTGTTGCCTCAATGTGGAACCCGGGGGCGAAGGCCATGCATCATCAAGAAGAGGAAGAGGTAATATTTTGAATAAAATTACCAACTCATCAAGTTGACGGTTGTCATAGCAACAACCAATAAATATCCACAGATTTCTATATTACCGATGTGGCACTTTTTTTTGGCTATTTAAAATACAGGAACCTGTAATAATGGTAATAAATTTAAACAATTTTTAGGTCGACGACGAGGAACTCGGCGTTGCCGAAACCTACTCTGATTACATGCCGTCAAAGCTTAAATTGGGTAAAAAACACCCCGATCCTGTGGTCGAAACGGCCTCTTTGTCTTCGGTAGCCCCCGCTGACGTCTGGTATAAACTTTCAATACCCGAAGAGACAATTCGTTTGGGGGCTCTTTCGGCCCTTCAACTCGAAAGTATTACTTACACATCTCAAGCCCATGAACATATACTTCCCGATGGTTCAAGGGCTGGTTTTCTTATTGGAGATGGCGCTGGTGTTGGCAAAGGTCGAACAATTGCTGGCGTTATTTTTGAAAATTATCTAAAAGGCCGTAAGAGGGCCATCTGGGTCTCCGTCTCCAATGATCTCAAATACGACGCCGAGCGAGATTTGAGAGACATTGGGGCCGGTAAAATCGAAGTCCATCCTTTGAATAAATTCAAATATGCTAAAATCTCATCGGCCGTGAATGGGAATATTAAAAAAGGGGTCATTTTTAGTACTTATTCGGCATTGATTGGAGAAAGTAATTCGGCTGGGGGTAAATACAAGTCGCGTCTGAAACAATTGCTACAATGGTGTGGGCAAGATTTCGATGGTTTGATTATTTTCGATGAGTGTCACCGAGCGAAAAATTTATGCCCAGTGGGCTCCTCCAAGCCCACTAAGACTGGACTCACTGTTTTAGAATTGCAAAATAAATTGCCTAAAGCACGTGTCGTTTATGCATCAGCCACAGGGGCTTCTGAACCCCGTAACATGGCTTATATGGTACGATTGGGTATGTGGGGCCCTGGGACTCCATTCAAAGAATTCGCTGATTTTATTTCCGCCGTCGAGAAGCGTGGTGTCGGTGCTATGGAAATTGTAGCTATGGATATGAAACTGCGAGGTATAGTTCGACTCGGCTTCGCCTTGTCTCACACTCTTTGTATTTCCAGGCATGTACATTGCACGTCAATTAAGTTTCCACGGTGTCGCTTTCAAAATCGAAGAAGTGCCATTGTCGAAAGACTTTGAAAAGACATACGACGCTAGCGTGAAACTATGGGTGGAAGCAATGCAAAAGTTTCATGAAGCTGCAGAATTGGTCGATGCCGAAAACCGGATGAGGAAAACAATGTGGGGACAATTTTGGTCGGCCCATCAGCGTTTCTTCAAGTATCTTTGTATCGCAGCAAAGGTGCCCCATGCCGTAGCGGTGGCCCATGAGGCCATTAAATGCGGGAAATGCGTTGTTATCGGATTGCAAAGTACAGGGGAAGCACGCACTTTGGAACAATTGGAGCGCGACGATGGAGAACTGACCGATTTTGTGTCAACTGCGAAGGGGGTTTTCCAGACTTTGGTCGAAAAACATTTCCCTGCCCCTGACCGGAACCGGATACAACGATTATTAGGCTTGGATCCGCCAATTTCCGGCTCGAAAAAGGCCAATGGGAATGATGAAGGGAGTTCCTCCGGGAAGCGTAAAAGTAATTTGTTAACATTTCTCAAATTGTATGTAACTCGGGTCTTTTTTAGTGCGTCAAGCTGCGGTTCGAGCCGTGAAACGGAATAAATGGTCGACGTCAGATAGCGATAATGATTCGACGAAAAGTTCCGACTCTGAGTATCACATGTCGAATGTGGAGAGTGAGGTTTCTGAAGAACATTCCGATTCGAATGCCAGCAGTGATTTTAATCCGTTTAATTCCGATAGTGACTCTGATAACGATCCATGGAGCCGGAATAAAAAGAAAGGGAAGAAACAGAAGAAATCACCAAAAAAGAGAACCTCAACACAAGACAAGTTGTCCATGTTGTTGACACAAAAGACAAATAAAGGTAACGAAATCTGTATTACCGGCAATTACAGGGTCCTATAATTATTGTTTTTAGCGAAAGTAAATGGAGGTATGTCGAATGATTCGAAACCGGCGGCGCCTCCAATGGACGCCATCGAACGTGCATGTCAAATGAAAGACGAAATTCTCTACAAAATAGAACGATTGGGTGAACGTCTCCCTCCCAACACCCTTGATCAACTAATCGATGAACTTGGCGGTCCGGAAAACGTTGCAGAAATGACAGGTCGTAAAGGTCGAGTTGTGCAAACTGAAGATGGAGGTATCCAATACGAAAGTCGTTCTGAAGTCGATGTCCCCCTTGAAACACTAAACCTGACTGAAAAACAACGTTTCATGGATGGCGAAAAAGACGTTGCTATTATATCCGAAGCGGCATCTAGTGGCATTTCGTTACAAAGCGACCGACGAGTTAAGAATCAACGTAGACGAGTGCATATCACATTGGAGTTGCCGTGGTCGGCCGATAGAGCTATACAACAATTCGGACGAACGCATCGCAGTAACCAAGTTAATGCCCCTGAGTATATTTTCCTCATCTCGGATTTGGCAGGAGAGAGGAGATTTGCCAGTATTGTGGCGAAAAGATTAGAGAGTTTGGGGGCGTTGACGCATGGTGATCGACGAGCGACGGAAACGAGAGATTTGAGTCAATTTAATATCGATAATAAGTACGGAAGAGCGGCGTTGGAGGCGACTATGAAAGCAATCATGGGATATGAGAACCCTATAGTACCACCCCCACGTGACTACAAGGGTGATTTCTTCAAAGACGTGGCGGCGGCGCTAGTGGGGGTGGGACTCATTGTCAATAGCGAGAATATGCCAGGGGTTTTGAGTCTCGATAAAGATTATAATAATATGTCAAAGTTCCTCAATAGAATACTCGGGATGCCGGTCGAGTTACAAAATAGACTGTTCAGGTAAGTCGGTATTACAGTAATCTGTGATATTTAATTTGTTTTATAGATATTTTACCGACACTTTGGAGGCTATTATCACCCAAGCGAAGCGTTCCGGCCGTTTTGATTTGGGTATCCTTGATTTAGGGGCTGGTGGTGAGATGGTGAAACGCGTGCGTACTGTCACATTCCTGCGTAAGCACGCCACTGGTACAGCCCCCACTGAGTTGCACACTGTGCACGTAGAACGTGGAATGTCGTGGCCGGAAGCCCTCGAAAAACTCTCAGTGCTTACAGCTGAAGATGAAGGTTTCTACTTGTCCCACCAGATTCGTAACGGCAAACATACCGCTATTTTGGCAGTGGCTGTGGATAGCAACACGCCGAAAAAATCGAAAAACGAGTCGAAGAAGGAGCAAATGTTTTCGGTTTATCGGCCAAATACCGGATTGCAATTTCGACAGGAGAGTCTCGCCGAATTGGAGAAAAAGTACAAGAAGGTTGAGTCGGCCGATGCTGAGGAGGCCTGGACGCAGCAATATGACAGTTCGGTGAATACCTGTTCGCATGCGTATTGGAGAGGGAATTGCCGGAATGTTAATATGGGACATGATTGCGAGGTCGGATTGAGGAGGAGGACCTATAATGTGGTCGCGGGGTCGGTACTATCGGTGTGGAGTCGAGTGGAAGGTGTGTTGGCGAGCAAGAATGGAACGCATAATAATAAGATGCAAGTGATTAGGTTGCGAACGAAAGATGATTTGAAAGTTGTTGGTAAGTTGGAAGTTTTTATTGGGAGTACAGTTTTCTGTAATTTTTTCTTTTTTTAGGTACGTTAATACCAAAGAATTGCGTGGATGCATTGATCGAAGCACTTTCGGCGGACGCGGAAAAAACCGAAGAAGTGACTTTTGATTAGATCAAGTCTGACGTAAAAAATGTCATGTAACGCATACAGGGCCTCAAGTATTCAATGGCACGGATAGTGACATTAAAAATTTTCAAAGACATTGTGACTACTTTAGGTTTAGCGAAAGAAGAGAGATAAGTTCCCAAGTATTTTCTAAAAGTGTGTAAAACACGCTACAAACATCGTTTAATGAAACAAATCTGTGAAAATAGTTTTATTTAGGTAAATGTGTATTTATATGACTTGTAGGTTTTTAAATTGCGTTTCAGTTTTTGTTGTTTTTTCCTCGTTTTTTTGATATATTTTTAAGTTTAGTGTGCGTGATACAAATACATAAGTAAGACTTGCCTTTTTTTTAATTCATTTATATTATTGCATTCATTCAGATATATCGTGTATATTCAAATGTGTTCTGCAGCATAATAGAGATCATTAAACAGGTAGAAATCTGTTTTTGTAGCCTCTCCCCGCAAAATTTTCCCTTGTTTTTCGGCCACAAATCCCACAATTTATCGTTTTAACAATCGACAATCTATGACAAATAAATTAGCATAATTTCATCGGTCGGACGACCTTGAACTCGTATCATGTTTATGAATACCCCGAAAGCGATAAGCTGAAAGGAAACACGTCGCCGACTTGAAATGGAATTCGAAGAAAGTTCATTTCGGTGTGGACTCTCGACGACGATGGACCAAATCAGAAACGGATGGTTCAGTGAAATCAACGATTTGTGGCCCGGACAGTGCATGAGTCTACAAGTTGACGAGGTTTTATACCACGAAAAATCCGACTACCAGGATGTCATGGTCTTAAAAACGTAAGTTTTTTTTTGATAAAAACCATGCCGTGAACTTTGACACTATAAACTGGTCATTGACATGCACATGGGCGTGTTTAATTAAGCCACGCCTTTTACTTTCACTGACACACTTCACTTTTTCGTAGTAAACATCACGGGCGCGCCCTCATCCTCGACGGCATAATCCAATGCACCGAACACGACGAATTCTCCTACCAGGAGATGATCTCCTTCCTCCCCTTATGCGCCCACCCCTCCCCCAGCAACGTCCTCATCGTGGGAGGCGGCGACGGAGGCGTGGCCCGCGAATGTCACAAACACCCCCTCGTCAAACAAATCGTCCAAGTGGAAATCGACGCAAAAGTCGTAGACGCCAGTAAACGTTTCCTCCCATTCATGGCCAGCGGTTTCACCTCCAACAAACTCACGCTCAACATCTGCGACGGTTTTAAATACATGGAACAGCACAAGAACGCCTTCGATGTCATTATCACCGATTCAAGCGATCCGATTGGTCCAGCCGAGAACCTCTTCACCGAATCCTATTTCAAACTGTTGAAAGGGGCGTTGAAAGAGGGCGGAGTTATATGCAGTCAGAACGGGACGGTATGGGCGGGGCTTGATCACGTCAAACAGACGATGAATCATTGTAGGAAATTCTTCGAGACGGTTAAGTATGCCGTGACGAGTGTACCGACGTATCCTTCGGGACAAATCGGGTTTGTGGTGGCAGGAGAGAGGGGCGATTTGACCGTTCCCAAATTTAGGGTGGGGGAGAGGGAGGTGCGCGAAATGGGCCTGAAGTATTACAACGCAGAGGTGCATACCGCCGCTTTTGTGCTACCGAATTTTGTAAAAAAAGTATTGTACCAGTAAAAAATAAAGTGAAACATTTTACAGATTCCTGAATTATCTGTAATGACGTTTTTTGTCTTTGGTCTTTCGGGAGTTTTAATTTTAATCAATAATCTTTGTTAGAAATATTAGTAACTTGTTATTAATAAAATACTGTAACAGTCACCTCATTTGGTGATGCATTAACTCTTAAATATATACAAAAAAAAGTAATCAAAAAATAATCTGGAGATTTCGTCAATGCTGTCAAAAAATATAAATCTGGTAATTTTTTACTCCTAGATATATCACACTTATCTGGAATTCAACAAAACAATCTCATCCTCCTCGTCTTCCGAACTCGCATCCCCGTCAGTATCATCATCATCATCAAAATACGGCCTTGTGATTGGTTTAACTACAACAAAATACCAACCTTTCATGCATTTCAACACCAACACCAACCTGGCAACGGCCTTGCGAACAATTCCGTCTCTTTTGATTCGTCAAAATCCTTGAAATCTTCATCGAAACCATTCTGTGACAACAGACCATAGTCACTCTTCCTTTTGCATGCCACATAACACATCAAAAGTACACCCAAACTTCCGAAACAAACGAATCCCATCACAATAACAAAAGCCAATCGTGGCATACCCCACATTGTATTATCCTTAACTAAAGTAAACATCACCACATGAGACCCAACAACGCCATCTATCGTAAAATATTTGATACTGGAGTGAAACCCGGACGCTGATACGCTCAAAGTATAAGTTCCAGGAGGCATGGCAACACTGTATTTACCCTCGTTGTCAGTTTTAATAGTAACATTTTTTTCGATAATCTTAATCGAGGCGGCTGCGATCGGATGATTGTAATTATCTCTGACGTAACCCTTAATACCGGATATTTCATTCGAATTCGGTTGTAAAATAACGGGCAAATACGCAAATTTTCCATTTTTAACGGTTGTATCATAGGTGGCGTTGATATAACCATGACAGGACACTTCGATCGTGTATTGTCCCTCAGGTAACATAATTTTAAATTTGGCTTGATGATTTCGTGTGACGTCATAATAACGGTTATAACCGACAATGCGTATAGTTGCATTACGCATCGGCTGTTTGCGATCGTCGATGATGAAACCTTGAACACCTATCGAGAGATCGGTTAGGTTCGGTTAGGGTCATGTGAGACTCACCTGTTGTTGTAAATGTCAAAACTGTCATTAATGGAGTTAAAGCCTCGCGCCATATGTAAGGAATATCAACAACTGACGGATACTCGCAACATGTCACTTTACCGGTTATAACCGGAACTCCAAACTCCCTGTATATAACATCAGTGATGGTTTCATCAGTCCCTTTGACGTTTCGATGACACTCGGGTCGATTCTTGAACGATTTTAAATATTTTTCAGCATAAGTTTGAAAAAGGTTAATTTTGCCCCCAGTTTTCGGATAACTAAAATCGGTCATAGAAAAAAATCAGTATGACATTTGAGTTTAAACTTACATTACTCGTCCAGAACCACCTTCGATGTTCAAGACCAAATCGAATTTCTCTTCCATAAGAAGATGTTTAAAAGCATTAGCGACTGATTTTAATTCGCCGTTGACACGAGCGCCCCCTATGACCTGATCACCGACTTGTTTAAAGTCGGCTGTGATATTATTACACGTGTAGTGCTCAGGACGTGCTCTCCCACTCGCTTGTTTATCATAGCCACCCCAGATTTGCTCGAAAGCCGTATCAATGACAGGTATCACGTGAACAATTGTATTATTTAAAATGTCAACGATGACAGGATCACCGATCGAGTGACCACTCAAAAGATGACGTGCGAGATAAATTGACAGTTCACGGCCTAATGGTTGCGTCGCGTACAAGTTGGCCATGATCGCAATGTGGAATTTGAGTTCGTCGGAGGAATCGATCTGAAATTGAAGCAATTAAAAGCGTTAATCAATGTTTAATTGCAGTAATTTTGTTACAAATCATATAAGAATAAAGTTTCACGGAATTTAGTAGGACGCAATAGGCCGGTTTTTTTCTGACAGTTTCAGGTCAATGAACCTGCTACCAACCTTACACTTGAAATTGTCCCAAGAAGTGTTAAAACAATCAACAAAATAAAAGATAAAAATCTCACAATGTGAGCTAAGAAAACTTTTCTAATTATTATAATTAGTGACATGACTCGTAAGCATTTTTTTTGTTTGTTTTGATGTTATTTAAAGAAACTTTCCACTTGTGTTACGACTTTTTAACCTCTCAATGTGACTCTTGAAAAATACAAAATTTTAAATTAATAAATAAACGAATTTAATTGACGTATTTCCGGGAAAAATGATGAAATTTGAAGGTCAGACAACTAATTGTCTTTTTTTCACAAATCCTGAAAGTATAACAAACTGGTTTGTAAACAAATAATTCGTTTTTTATAGCTCCCTCTTGCTATATAAGACTAAAATCGCAACAGCTTTGATTTAGTCAGTGACAATCAGTGCAAACAACATGAAAAAAATCACATCTTGTTTAATACATTTTTGCCTAGCAACTCTATGTTTTGGGGGCAAATTACGTAGTTTTTCACCAAATTAATCACAAAAACAAAATTATTCTTAAATTAATTTCAGCGTCAAGTTTCAAAAAATGTCACAAAAACGATAACAAATGCCTATCAGAAGCCGCCGCTGATGCCATCCACCAATTAAATAAACCGATCAAAGAGGCGAATTTACCGAGTTTGGAACCACTCGAAGTACCATCGTTGACCATCGGCGCCGGAAGTGGACCCGTAGGACTTGAACAAAAATTCAAAAATGTCAAAATTTACGGCTTTACGAAACCCACAACGACGCGATTCGAGTGAGTCACTTTTACTCCCTAGTTACTTACGTATCAAGGGAATAAACAATTGAATAAAGATTGGGTTTATTCCCTGTTGGGAGGAAAATAACTTTTTTTTTCTAATCATGTTAAAGAATTTGTACTTTTCTCAACAGTTTTGAGTTGAGAAAGTTATTCTTCAATCATTTAATTTTTTTCACAACTGTTAGGAAAATTAAATAATAATAACAAAAAAAAAGAATATAAAAAGTATTACAGTCATTATTTAAGATTAGAAAAAGTATAGAATTAAACTTTTGAGAAATGGCCATTTCCACTCCGATAAATTACTCTACTCGCCCTCGGCTCGTATCATGGAAATGCCCAACTTTCTCATTCATTGAATAATCTACTATTTTGTATTTCAGACTCGATTTAGAGAAGAAAAGCGCTCATCTTGAATGTGATTTCGACGAAGTTAAACTCATTGCCGACTACGATATCAACGGAAAAATCCTCTTATTGCCAGTTTATGGTTCAGGACCGGCTCAAGTGATACTGGGTAAGGTCCCACTATCTAAATCAGAGTTGTATTAATTGTTTTTCTATCACTAGAAAAAGTCCACGGTATTGAAAATTTCACTCTCGAAGAGTACGAAAAAAAGGGTAAAAAACATTTGAAAGTCGTTTCAGAAGTATTATCATTGGACCCAAGTTTAATAAAATTCAATTTTGATAATTTATTCAACGGTGATAAGGCTTTAGGTGATAATATTAATCAAGTCGTCAATGAGAATTGGAAAGAAGTGTGGGGTGACATCAAGAGTAGCTATGAAGATGCTTTTGGGCAAATTATCATGGGATTATTTAATAATTTATTGGCCAAAATTCCAATTGAGGAACTTTTGGACCAGTAATATGTAGTTTTTTTTTTTTTAAATAAAATTGAAAAAACCCAGTTATCTGCTGTCAAATTCTTTCTGAACTCACCTCGTGCGTGATTTTGAGCGATTTCAACGTCATCGAAACATAATCATCGCCATTTTTGAACGTGGCAACATTCGAATAGCGATTCTCCAAAGCCCCCATGATCGCATACAGCTCACTATTGGTGTGATATTTGGGATTATATTGATTCTCCCCCAATCCGAAATCATAAGCACTTGCCCAATGCAAAGGATCATCCCTCATCAAACTCACATTATACACAAAACTCCCTTCTTTGGGTACTTCAATCTCGTTCGTGTAACTCTCATACCCTAACGCCTCCACCGTTAAATTATACTTCCCGGGTAACAGAATCCTGTAATAATCGCCGTCTTCGTACGATTTGACATAATGACTGATCCCTTCGACGATGATTTTAGCCCCTTCAATGGGCCGTCCAATGGTACTGCGAACGTAACCACGTACTCCACGTTGCACCTGTTCCATGTAGGTGAGAAGGGCTTCACGATTGTCAAGCCATAAATTGGGGAGGTCTCCAGCCATGGGGTATTTGTAACAACCGATTTCTAAGGTGAGTTCCATGCAACCGGCCACAAGGTAGTTCCAGTCTTGCATACCCCCAGTCACTTCGTACCATTTCGCACCGTTGGTTATGCCGTCTTGGAAGCGCTCCTTCGGGAAAAGGGGACACGGCCCCCCCTTGTGCATCTCGCGATGGGCCTGAAGGAGATAATAAACTTTCGTGACACTTATTTTGAAAAATTTCAAACAACCTCACTTTTTGTTGTTTTTTACATTGGAAAAGAAAAAAAAACACATAAAACACGATGAATCGTTATTGTGAAGGCAAAATTTTGCAATTTTGCTTAATTGAATGCCGGCAATTACAGAGATCTGTAATTTGGCCGGTAATACAGAACTCTACCCACTTACGTCGGCATATTTGTGCGCCAAATATTTGAAAATCGCATCGTCGGGCGACAAATTCTCGCCGTGGCGACCTGGACTGTTATCATCGTAAGGATAATTAGCGACAAGAGCGCCATTGTGGAGATTTGCGGATAGTACGAAAGGCTCCGAGAGGATCCAATCCATCACAGCTCGAGTTTCAGGCTCTGTGAGACTATTAAACTGAAAAAAAAATCCGTAAAATGCCTGAAATTATCCTGAAAATTGGCGTACTTTATTCGTGACGTATTGGTCGGGAAAATTCCGATTCAAATCGACGCCGTGTGCATTGCCTCGCCCATCGCTGCCTCCAGCGTCGCCCTCGTGCGACATTTCGTACCCATCTGGGTTCATGCTGGGCATTAAGTGAATTCGGGTGGTTTCGAGAAGGTTGGTAACCCTGTCATCGGCCTGGTAGTGCTCACACAAGTATTTCATCAGGTAGAGGAGCATTTCACGGCCTACTACCTCATTGCCGTGCATATTTGCAACGTACTTAAACTCAGGTTTACCTGCGACAAGGTTAAATAAAACTGAATTGAGGTCACGTAATACTCACCAGGGACGTGTTTAAAAGGAGTCGAACTTATAATCATGACGTACAAGTCTCTCCCTTCGACCGATTTTCCGATTGAATGCAAATGTGTTATATTCGGATACGTCGAGTTAATTTCTTTCATGAATTTCACCATTTCGTCATAGTGGTGATGCTTAAACAATTGAGTATTGGAGGATATAAAACCGTACTCGTCAAAAGTCGGCCCACTTCGGTCAACAACGACCTTAAAATCATCTGTAAAAAACCGAGGATGGTCAAAAAATAAATACAATCCTCCCAAAGCACATCTTTATTCACTTGAAGCATACATAAAATAAGCTAGTGCCCCCAGAACCACTGTGCAGCGCCCTCTAGTGAACTTTTATTACCTTTGGTTGGCAGCGCCCTCTTCAGAGTGAAATTTTGGACGGTGGTGGTGCCATCTTCAACTGTCACACTAACCTCGTCCGATGGCTCAAACCTAACCAAATCAAGGATTAAAAAAAATTATACAAATAATTATACATACCCGTAAGCCGTGGCATACATTGTGTACTTCCCCGGTAACAACAACCGCCAGTATTCCCCCCGATTGGAAGTGGAGACATTATGTGCCACCTCTTTAACTACCACATCAGCGTCCAAAACCGGCTCGCCGTTCCCATCCCTCACTACCCCCTTCACGCCCCAATGCACAGCCTCCATGAACCTCAAAAGTGCCTCCTTGTTTTTCCCCCATTCCGACGGGAGTGTCTTCGCTCGGGGAAATTTGCAACAACTCAACTCAAAAGTCACTTCAAAACAATTCGAATGGACGTAATTGAAGTCCTGCATGCCCCCTCTGACCTCATACCAAAACGCCCCATTTGTGATACCCTGATTAAAGGTCTCCGTCTGACACGCGCGCCCCCCTTTCATAATCGGGTGAGCTTGCGAATACGTCAAGGCTAGTTTTTTAAACACACCATCATCGGGGGATTTACTCTCATGACAGCATTCGTGACTCGAACTAGAAAAAAGCCAAAAATTGACCCAAATTCTTATTTGACGGGGAAGTACCTAGAGTCATCAAAAGGGTAACTTGCGACTACAGCCCCACCGTGGAGATTCCCCGAAAGTACAAACGGACGCGAGATAATCCAAGTCATGATTGCGATAGTTTCGGGTTGGCGGCCCGATAATATCGTACCTGTCAAAAATAAACAATTGAAAATTGGAAAAACAAAAAAGTTTAACGTACCGGTACGAACCGGATCAAACTGATCCGGAAAATCGCGATTCAGATCCTTGTGGTTGATGTTTTCGCGGCCGATGTAGCCGGGCTTGGACTCGCAGAGGCCCTCCTAAAAATACAGAAACCTGTAATCCAAAAAGTGACATTGGCCGCCTACTTCCTATTGTTGTATAAAAATTGTGTTAAAAACGCAAAATAAATCGTTGATGATATATTATGCCAAAAAAAAAAAAAATAGGTAATAATGCGAATCAATTTTTAATTATTCCTATTCCAAGAAGATAAATATTTACGCAGTTGTGTGGTATTTCCCAACATAGTGATGACACTACAAACAAGATAATTTGTTCTTGTTTCAGCTGGCTTTGAATTTGATATTCGACTCGATATTGTTTATCAAGGCCAACTCACTACACTTTTATAATTCATTTTTGCTTAATTATCACAAACCTGCGAATTTTCAAACCCGTCAGGATTCATCGACGGCATCAAATAAATATCAGTCGAATTAACCAATCTGGTAACTCTCTCATCCTTCCCGTAATTATAAATCAAATATTGGGCTAAATAGATCATCAGTTGTCGCCCCACGGCCTCATCCCCATGCATATTAGCCACATATTTGAACATGGGGGTCATCAATGTTCTGTTTGCTACATTTGCGTTAATTTCAAGCGCCCACAATTCACGATTTCGTACAGATCGTCCTATACTGTGTAATTTTGCGATTTCGGGATGTTCAGTCTCTAATTTTTTAAATAAATTGGTCAATTCATCGTAGGTGTGATATTTCGGTGTAACAAGGAAACTCTCGTCGAGAAGATTCGAACGAATGGAATGAGATTCACTAGACACTAACACTGCGAGGAGAATTATTGCTTTGGAATGCATTATTGCGGGGTTTTCGGCGATTTGGACGAATTAATTGAACATTTTCGCGAGTTATCAGAGGTTGGGTTGACGTTTGACGTTTTGTTGGAAACGTCAAGCAACAGGTCGCTGCCAACACAAGAAAAAAAAAGATATGCAAGCAAAAAACTTAACTATATTAAATATAAATTAATTGTTCTAAATTTAATAATAATAAATTGTTAAATTTAAATATTTACTGTATAAACAGAAAAAAAAAAACGATCGGTATTTTTTATTAGACCTGTGTCTTTTATTGATATCATAAAACGTCTCCTATGACCTAATAATGGACTGGTTGTAGATAAATAGTATAAATTTAGGTTCAATAAAACATCAGAATATTTCACAAATACATGCAGAATGTCCATTTTATCTGCCTCCCAAAATTGTATAAAATTTAGAATAGTTAATACCTAGTTTATGAAATGTATAATAGGTTGCCTACTTTTACTCCTTTAGGGGGGAACAAATAAAATGGGTAGCCTGTATTTAATTTTATTTAAAAAGTAAAATTGTAAACTTCTACTGTCTCATACTGGTTACAAAAAAGATATAATAAAAACACCACACATAAAAATGAACAATATTAAATCATCTCAAATCGGCATTCCGATTTTAGTTTTTTTCGGATTTAAAAAAATAAATTGAACAAGTTTCCCACTCTATCGGCATTAGTGCCGGGGGTTCACAAATATTATAATTAATATTCCTGTTATTTTCGTATGATGACATCGGTTGCCGATTTAAGCGATTGTTTACAGAAAAACTAAATTTTTTTAAAGTATTGCTCACTTTAGTCACATTTATAATCCATGCAGAGTGTTGTTTATCAATTTCAATAATAATGCAGAAAAAACACTTACAAAAGCAAACGACTTTATATATAGTTCTAATGGCAGCGTATCTTAATGAAATGGTGGTCCAATTGTGATTTATAGTCAATTTACATATAGAGTTTTGGTGACGACTTCTTAGATGTTCTGCTATGCCATCAGACGGCCTTCTTTCCCGGCAGTACCGTACCGGACATTTAATTATGGAATTTCGAAACACAGGAAGTGAGATAGTTTCTCCAGGCACTTCAGGCCAGATTTCAGAGACCAGCTCCTCAACGGTGAAGTTTCTCACTTCTGGAAGCATCATCTCAAAACGAAAGAATCGATATTTTGGTTCAAGGTTTCCGCAATCGTAACAGACGGTATGGCCCATACAGCACATCATAGTTTTTCTTAAAATTTTAGAACACAATTTGCAAGACATCTGAAAGTTGTAGATAAGTAAAAGAGTAAAATAAAATTGCAACTTACCGTAAAATTTAATTAAAATTTGATTTCGAACCAATAAAATAACTGCACTGTTCATAGACAACTCTTTTTCCCACACCTCTGCCTATCTGTTGATAAGTTTTTTGATTGATTAAAACGAAGGTGACCAACCGTCCCTGATTTAGCGAGGAAATGTTTACATTTTCATTGTTTTGTCCTGTTTTACGTTTATTTGTTCCGATTTAAGAATCAACACACCTAAGTGTGCAATTTTTTGAGATTTTCAAAATTGGTTATAATGACCAAATTAACTATTAATTTTTCTTGAATAGATTTTTTTAAATGTTTGCAGAGAATGAAAGAGCTCAAAGCAATTCATACAAAAAAAAAATAAAATTAACACAAAACAATAAAATAATAATAATTATTAGATTAGGGCCCAAAACCTGTTTTTGTTTTTATGTCAATATCTTGCATCCTATAGATATGTATTCTTACTATATTTAAGTTTGTATACGGAAACATTAGTAAGACCTATTTTTTGTGTTCTGAAATAAATTTATTATAATTATTTTTATTAATGTCCCGATTTCGAATTTTCTGAAGTTGGTCACCTTAATAAAAGTTTCTATTAATTATTATTTATTTCAAATTTTTGTAGAAATTGTGATAAAAAATACAAAAATAAATTTGAAATAATTTTAAAAATTACAATACTTAAATATTTTGTCAAATTTTAATTAAATGTTAGGCAACCACCAATACACATGTTTTTTTTTAGCTAAATAAATCATAAAACTGTCAAATAAAAAACAAAAATTTAATTCAAACACCATTATACAACATATACATAATTTCATTAAATTAGACAAAAATCAATAGAAATTGCACAGTTGCGCACTTTTGTGAAGTATAACTGGTTGCCTACATTCATAAAATCAATGATAACTTCATTGATAAAATTTCAGGTTTTAGATGGTGGGGTTCAGTTGCATTTAATTTAAATTTGAGAGTGGTATTTGTTTGAAAAATTAATGATTTCGTCGATTAGTTTCAATCTAATCAAATGAAAAATGTGAATGATTGTGAGAGCAACACACTGTTTAAAACTCACCCCACGTTCTAGAATTTTTACCGCTAAAGGATATAATTAAATAAAGATGAAGGTAGGTCAATTTTATTTTTTTTACTGTTGATAATTTCACAAATTACAATATTAGTAATTGATACTTAAATAATTACTATTATTTTTACCTTCACCTTGGCTCTTTTTACTGAAGACAACGTTGTCGCTTCACCTTTGATTCGGTAATTGCAAATATTAACTAACAGTTGCACAATTTACATTAACTGATTTTTTTCCTGACAAAAACATTAAAATCCTTGTTTTCTTCCTTTTAATAATTTCCTTGTGTATCTTCCTGGTGGCTTGACAGAATATAAATTAGTTGATTATTTGAAACAATTCAAATTTTTAACAAAAAAAAACACTTTCGTTCGACCTTCACAGTGATCCATGTCAAGTTCATCCGAATCTAGCCGGCATGGACCAACCGACTTGATTTTCCCCTAACAAAAGTGAAAATATCGCAGTTAGCCGCGACCGCATTTCGAACAAGTTTTAAAATTGCATAATTTTAGTTCCCCGTCGGCGTTTTCCTCCTCATCGTCGTAGGTCACGTGTCATCGACTGTCTTAATCGCCGATAATACAATGTCAAAAATGATTGAATTGACAACCAAAGCGCCATTTTGTCACGTCCACACTGACAGGTAATACCAACTTTGAAAATCACCAGTAGTACCAACCAAATTTCAGAGGGAAAATTCGAGATATGTTGTTCAGTTCCGATCCGCGAAAAATCCGTCAAATGTCGGATGAGTCAATTGCCAAACTTGTGGATATCTGTGTGAATAATGGGGTGCGATCGGCGCATCAAGGGGGCTTTATTTATCCGGGAACCAAATGGTGCGGTCCTGGAACCATCGCGACGAATTTCACAGATTTGGGGTACCACACCAAGGAGGATATATGTTGTAGAGATCATGATAATTGTCCCAATAATTTAATGAGGGGTGAATGTAGACAAGGGATTTGTAATGATTCGCCATTTACGAGGTCGCATTGTGATTGCGATGCGACTTTTCGACGATGTTTGCAGAATGTCAACACTGAAACGGCAAACACAATCGGGGCGATTTTTTTCAATGTGGTTCAAGTGATTTGTTTCAAGGAACGAAGTCCCTGCTCCAAACAACAAAGGTAAAACGATTATAGAATTCCCCACTCTGCCCCTAAAATCTAGTTTCTTTCTTTTTTTTTTTTTGCTTGTAGTGATTGCATGGCAGAATTTGTAAAATCTGGTCGTTATGTTGGTAGTCCTTACCCTCGCTTCGATTGGAGAAATAAACACGAATTTTTTATTAATATTATTTTGAGAAAATTGAGACTGTTGTAATTTGTTGGCAGGACTGGTTATACGCAAGCCGAAGGTGATAAAGTTTGCTCTCAGTGGAATTACAGACCTTCCGAAAAATATGTTCCATTAATGCCTCGATCTTTTAAGTAGAAATTCTACAGGGAACGCAATAAATAAACACACTGTATCACATCTCAGTCAACGATTTAGTACAATAATACGAGTATTTTAGATTTTACACTTAATAAGGGCCACGTTTGGTCAATTTTTGTAGTTTTAGTCTCGAAAACAATAATCAGAGTTGTGATATTTTAAGTTAGGCTGTTTCAATAATATCGTACTGTATTCAGTAGAATGTTTCATAAATGAATGTCAGAAATAAAAGTTTTCATGTCGCAAAATTTGAGTTTACTCGATTATAACCTGACCCTAAAACGGTCTGAGTCGACCGAGTCTCTAGGGCCTCTAAAAGTGTGAAAAACATTAATTGGTTCAATTTTAAAGTTAAAAAGCAGAAAACTATGATTTAAACATTTATTTAAAAAAAAACGTTGAAAGTTGAGCCAAATTGATTGGAAATAGCACAAATTGCTTTATTTCAGTCAAAAATTAGAATTTAAGCATTTATTTTGTTGAAATATCTAACGTGACCCGAGTTAACTGGGAGAAACTCTGACCCGAAGAACAGTTTTTGATTTTCAAACTCGTCCCAATAACATTTTCATCACTTTTTTGAGTCTTTAAGACCTCTAGAAATGTAAAAAACATTATATGATCGATTTTAAAATTGATTTTTTTTGTGATTTTCTTCTTCTAAATTATTAAGAATTGTGCGGTTTTCTCTCGACGCTAGTCGATTCCCCGGAACATTTTATATACAGGATGCGCCAGAAGTCGCGCCCCAGAGAAAAATGCCATGTAAGGTAAGATACCAGGAACATGGAAAGAATGTTAAAAAAATTTTCGAACTAAAAATTTGTTTTTTGAGATTTTACTAAAATAAACACAAAATCAAACTATAATGTTTGCGTTTTCCAAGTGTTTTAGCATGTTTCTTAAGTAAAAACGCAAATATTCGGCAAAAATTGAGTTATTTGTGTGTTTTTCGAGAGTTCAAGAACGTTTTTTAAGCAGAAAGCTTTATTTTTTTCAAGATTTACGTAAAAATAAGTAAATTTTCGACAGAGAAAATTTTGAATCATAATTTGTTAGTCTGGTGAAACATTCAGCTTTTTTCAATTACGTTGACACTGATATTAAAAAAAAAACGAACTAAGTATACAGGGTGTGTCAAAAAGACGGGACACACGTAAGGTAATATAACTAGAAACATAGAAAAAATGTTAAAAAAGTCTATTTATAAAAATTTCAAAGTTAGGAGAGTTTAAATTTTGCACTTTGATTCTATTTATTTCTGTTGGAAAAATAATTTTCCAAGTTTTTAATAAAATAAAAGTAAACGATTTTATTCTTTAATTTTAATGTTGAAAGTCCAAAATTTGAAATTGTAGCACACAAAAGCTTTTTTAGTACTTTTTTCTCCCAATTTATAATGAGAAAAAAATACAGGATGAGCCAGAAATCCGCTCTAGAGAAAAATGTCATGTAAGGTAAGATACCCACCAGAAATATGGAAAAAATATTTAAAAAATTCTATCTATAAAATGTCCGAAGTTATGACAAAGAAGTCTTAAATTTTATATTTTTCTATTTTTCAAGAAAATAGATCAAATTCATCGTTTATATTATTCTATTTTGTTTTTCCATTTTTCAAATTAATTCAAAATTAAGCTTAAATTTTTTGATGATTTTTGAAATATTGTTCCTCAATGAAAAATGGTCGTATTTAGATTTAAAAAATCCATTTTAAAGCTTCAAGTTTCTAATCTTGAAATCTTTTGGCCAAAAGTTGTATGTTTTTATATTATTTTTTTTTTAGTTCAGGGACTTGAAATTTTCTGCAAGATGTTTTTATTATTTTTTGAAAAAAAAATTACATGCAACATTGATTTAAAAAAAGAGAAAAAAGTAACTTTTTTGTTGTAGTAGTAATAAATCTACCGCGTATTCACAAATATTGATGGGGAGACTAATATGTCATTAGGTTTTTTTATAGCCTAATATACGCCCAATAGCTCTAAACTGTTTTCTCGGACCGATTGACAAAAGAATTAAAAAAATTAATTGTTTCTAAGCATGGTATAATTTTTATTAAAATGAAAAAAGCAGTTTTTTCCACCTTTTTCTATAATTATGCGTGTTAAATTTGAAAAAACATATTCGAAAAAAAACTTTTTAATATTTTTGAAAATGTAAACATCAAAAACCAATTCTGTGTATTTTTGAGACAATTTATTTAGCTTTTGCCTATCCTAATTTAACTCATTTCAAATTATTAATTGCATTAATGAAAAATTGATACCCCCCAAGCTGTATTTAGCACTAGATTTACGAAATTTTTAAAAGAAGTAATTTTTTAAAATTGTTTCTGATTTTTTTAATTTAACAGTAGTGTATTATTTTTTAAAACTCAACAACTTAAAGCATTTTGCAACTTTGAACATGTACTAGTTTTTTTACACTTTTTTGCATATGTTATTTATTGTTTATTTCTTTTGTGCTAAGTATACAAAAAATTATATTGTTTTTAAATTATCTAAATATTAAATACAATAAATTCAGCAAACATAGAGAAGAAAAAATTGTTTTTTTCGCGTAATTGTTCTCAAGTCTTGAATTTTTGATCAGAATCGGATATAATTGAGAAATATATTTCTTACTGACTAAATTATTAGAAAGCAAAGTATTGAAACTTTTGCTGTCCCACAACAACATTTTTAAGTTTTTCGATAGCTATTTGGCATAGAATCTGGCATTTTTTTGTTAATGTACAGGGTGTTCAAAATTCGATTATTTTACCAGCCTTTGTCGACAGAAATCCTTGACGGAAAGTTACATCTCCCTCACAAACAAACATCATTGCATTGATTTCATAGGACGCAAAGGACGAATTCGTTAAATCCTCTCCTTACTTATGCAAATTGGCACTTGCAAAATGTGAATTCTATTATTTAATGATATAAGTAGTAACCGCAAATCAAATCATCACTTAGTTTCGTCCCTTGATGCGTTTCAACCAAACGAGGTAAGTTCAAATCAAATCGACTTTTTCTAGATAAAAAAATTTCCAGAATGCGAAAATATCTTCTACTATCTTTACTAATCCTCGAAACGATTTGCTGCGAGTACAACCCATCCAACGACGACACTAAATGCATCTCGCGCGAATTCCAAAAAGGCCAAACCATCTCGTTGAAAAAATGGGGCAACAAATTGGACTTGTCGTTGATTCGAGGCCCAATTTTCGCAGACAGTTTTCCGCTGCTACTCGGAATCAAAGAAATGACATTACGCTCGAGCAACATCTCCGATATCGAGTCCGGATTTTTCCACCAATTTCCCAACTTGGAAAGCTTGACGATTAAAATCAATCACGGTTTTCCCAACATCACGACACGAATTTTCAAAGGCTGTTGCCCCAAATTGACTTCGTTCAAAGTCCTCGACAACAATCTACGCTATTTCGACAACCAAGTCTTCAAAACTATGCCCAAACTCGAGTTCCTTTGGATCGAAAAACAGAATTTGGGCCCTCTCGAGGCCAATTATTTCAGCGGTTTGAGCAGTTTGAAAAAGTTGAGGTTGCAGTACTGCGAGATTAAACGCATCGAACAGAATGCATTTGACGATTTGACGAATTTGGTCAAATTAGAATTGCCGACGAATCAAGTTGAGAAAATTCAACCTGGGACTTTTAAAAATTTGAAAAAGTTGGAGGAATTGCATTTGTCAGGGAATAGTATCAGGAATTTTACCGGTGGGGAGTTCAATGGTTTGGATAATTTAAAACGACTGGAATTGATTGGGAATAAGATAAATTCCTTGAATGTCGAGAAAATTTTGGAAAATTTACCGAAATTGGAACGGATTGGGATTAAATTGACCTTGTTTGAGTGCGACAGGGCCAAATCGTTGGTCGAGAGGATTAAAGAGAATAACATCGAGATTAAAAATGTTGACGAAGTCTTGAAGGATTCGTGTTCGAAGGACTCCAAGGAACAGGATTGAGTCAGTTGTAATTTAAGTAGATGTAATTAATAAATAACATTATTGATAAGTTTTTCATTAAAAAGCCAAGTGTTTCGAACGTACCAACATAAAAAATTAGTTCATAAATTTTCAGTATTTATTTCACTTGATTCTTAAACTCACAAGCCATTAAAATATTCATAAATCACCACTTTTTTTTAATTTCTATTTCGAAAAGCAAATAACAAAATTTAGGTAAGTATTTCAAAAGCCATAAAAAAATCGTAGAAAACATTTTTGTAAATCAAAAAATTGTGTTTTGTTTTATTATATTTTATGTGCATCAGAACTCGCACCCAGAGAAAAATACCATGTAAGGTAAGATACCAGAAACATGAAAAACAAATTAAAAAAATTGGTAAAAATAAGTCGAAAAGTCACAAAATTAGAGTAAAAAAATCAATAAATTTGGCATTATTATGGCCTTTTTGAGCGTATTAGTACAGTTTTTGACCAAAATTGATTTTTTTTTTAGTATTCTAGAGTGTTTATTCACGTTTTTGAAATGATTACAAGGTTTTTTCGAAAAATTTTGCTAAAATTGTGTGAGAAATTACCAAATTAGTTTGACATTGATTTTGTTTTATTTTATGTCAGTCATTTATATTGCAAGATCATAACAAAACCTAAAAAAAATTTGTCTTTGAGCAAAATTCTGTCAAAAAATACGATAAAAAACTACCAAATTTGGTTGAAAATGGTGTTTCTTTAATTAAGCACAATTTCGAACTAAAAATTTGTTTTTTGCGAAATTTTACTAAAATAAACACAAAATCAAACTACAATGTTTGCGTTTTCCAAGTGTTTTAGCATGTTTCTTAAGTAAAAACGCAAAAATTGAGTTATTTGTGTCTTCTTCGAGAGTTTAAGCATGTTTTTTGAGAAGAAAGCTTTCTTTTTTTCAAGATTTACGTAAAAAAAGTAAATATTCGATAGTATTACTTGGAGAAAAATTTAAATCATAATTTGTTAGTCTAGTGAAACATTGAGCTTTTTTCAATTACTTTGACACTGATATAAAAAAAACGAACTAAGTATACAGGGTGTGTCAAAAAGGCGGGACACACGTAAGGTAAGATAACTAGGAACATGGAAAAAATGCTAAAAAAAGTCTATCTATAAAAATTTTGAAGTTATAAAAGTTTAAATTTTGCACTTTGACTCTATTTATTTCTGTTAAAAAAATAATTTTCCAAGTTTTTTTTTGCTACAGGCTATTATAAGAGGAAACAAGAAAGCTGTATGCTAAATTGTAACTCTGTTTAATGTTATTTGTGGCTTTTATTGTCAAAATTTTTGTCTCTTTACTAAATAACTATAAAAAAAACAAATACAAGATTGTCGGTATCATTAAATATACATAAAAAAATGTCAAATGACGACAAAATAAAAGACAAAATTTTTTGACATAGAATTTTTTAAACATTTTTTCCATTTACTGGTATCTTATCTTAGTTGAAATTTTTCTCTGGGGCACAAGTTCTGACACACTCTGTATTATAATAAACAAACTGTGTTTTAAAAATTCTATACAACCAAGAATACACATTTTTTTAATTATTAAACGAAATTGCCTTAAAAATAAAAATAAACTTTTATTAGTAAAAAATCTATCAAAAATGTGTAATTACTTGTTTTTGGTGTGTATGTAATTGCGGTTAATATTAATATAACTAACAAAAAAAAGCGTATTGTTGGTTGCATTCCCACAAAAAATAAACCTTTTCTTCAGTTTAAATATTTATTTCACATAACCATTAAAAATCTCATAAATCAACGCATTTTTTATTTTATTGCACACATTCCTTTTACAACATACTTCAAACCGAGTCAAGGTAAGAAAAGTTCATCTTCGGGCACCCTCGAAAACACCTGATTTATAGTCTGCTTCCAAACCATTCCCATGACTTGATTGAAAGCTGGCCCCACGTCGGCATAAACCGTTTCTGAATTTTCATTAAGTGTCTTAACGACTTCTTTGCTTAATTGTTCATTCCCATCTATAATATTCTCAAAATCGAAAACAATTCTCTTCGGTTTGAAACCGAATTTAAAATCGGTGACTCTCAAACAAGTTTTATTTTTTTTGATATAGCGCTCGCATTTCGCCTCGTAATCACCATCATAATCGTCTAAAAATCATTATTAATTAAACTAATTATAAATTGTCATTACGCACATAGATAATTAGTGCATTTGCCGTGTCCATTGATGGGAAAAATCAACAATTGGCCCGACATGGTATAATCAGAAACCATTCGAACAAGAGAACCTCGAACTTTATAATTCCAGTAACAATTATCTCCGGTAAAGTTGGCTCTGGAATGACTTGTTATAAATTTTTATGACTCGCACACTCACACATACTCGCTATCACTTATACTCGAATTAGTCATTCCATAAATGTCCATATTTTCGTAGATTTGGTGTAAAGTAACAGCCCCCGATGTGTTATTCCCTAAATCGATTTTTTTAATATGAAAAGGCTCCAAAGGCACAATCCCTAAATCCTTGTTGCCTTGAGCGAATTTACGACTGGCATCTTGAGCGCTTTCTTCCAGACATTTGTTGAAATTGGGGTCCGACTTACTACATTTACGAATATTTGACGCTTAAAATAATCAATTATTTATAATTTGGGAAATTTTAATTGACTTACGCAATGATTTCGACGAAATTGGGGCAAAAAATAGGCCCAAAACAAACAGATAGAGCATTATTTAAAGTGTTTACAAAAAGTAAAAAACCTGTTTTATAAAGTTGAAAACCTTGTATTACAAATTGCGCAATTTGGCACCAAAGTGCGATTTTCAAATAGTGACAAGGTCGCCAACCTGACAAAAGTAAATTCCCATTATTTTTTTACAAAAAAAAAAAAATGAATGTTAACACAAAATTTAATCAAAAAAAAGCTGAAAAATCATAATTGTTTCTGAATTTTTTGAGAGTTTTAGCACGTTTTTCCGTGATTTCCCTTAAATAAACCAAGACATTACCAAATCACATCTAAATTGACATTATTGTTGCCCTTTTCAAGCGGTTAACCAAAACTTAAAACTTTTTTGTAAGATTTTGTTAAAAAGGTCAAAAAATCACAAATTTTGGGTTAAAAAAAAAACATAATTTTTGACTCTTTTGAGTGTTTTATTATAATTTTTAACTATGTAGAAATTTCTGAATAAACAAGCCAAAAAAATCACCAAATTAAGTTGAATTTAAGCACGTTTTTGGGTTTTTTCCACAAAGTGAAAAAAACATTATCATTTTTGTCTTTTTTGAGTGTTTTATCACATTTATCTTAAAATTTTGTCAAAAAGAAGCTAAAAAACACCAAAATGTGTCGAAAATAGTGTTATTTTTGTCCTTTTTGGAGCGTTTTTACACTAAAAACTATTTTTTTTTGTAAAAGCTTAATAAAAATTCACTAAACTAAACCTAAAATGGTGTTGTTTTACTAATTTTACAGCGTTTAAACACGTATGTCCGCTACAAAAAATTTATAAAATTTTATATTTCATAACATTTCTAATTTCATTAAAAATAGGCTGGAAAATTAGCGAATTAAATCAAAAATAGCCAAAAAAGCACGTTTTTCTAGAAACAAACTTAGTTTTTTTGCGAGATTTCACTAAAACATGCTGAAAAATCATTAAATTACATCGAGATTGACGTTATTTAGTTCGTTTTGAAACTAGAAACTAATTTATTTAGCAAAATTTTGTCAAAAACAAGCTAAAAATTAACTAATTTACAAGTTATTTAATTAATATATAACTGTAATCTCTGAGTTTTGTTTAAAAATTTATCCAAAAAAAATTATTTTGTTTTTAAATCATTTAGGGAATTTTTAATCGCGTGATTGGCGTTTGCCCACTTTCGCACTTGTCAGATTTCTCACCCACTTTTCTAATGGCGAATAAAAGTTAAAACGTCAAATGCATTAGTCACCTTTTTTTATTTATTTACCGTTTTGTTTCGGCTTAATTTCCTTAAATTCGGTTAAATTTACGATTGCGTTGTGTTATTTGGTGATAATTTTTGCATTTAATCATCATCCATTTTAGTCAAGATAAGTGTTTATCTCAATTGTTCTTTTGTTGTAGTGTGGGTTTTAATCTCATTGCGGTGAGTAGATTTGAGTTTTTTTCGATAAAATCGAATTCGTGTTTGTTAGAAATGGAAAATCCTTCTGGAAGTCGTGCCCCCAATAAACTGGAGCAAACTCAAGCTCAAGTCAATGAAGTCGTGGGGATTATGCGAGTCAACGTCGAGAAAGTTCTTGAAAGGGACCAGAAATTGTCGGAATTGGATAGCCGGGCCGACGCCTTGCAAGAAGGGGGCAAAAGGTTCGAGCAACAAGCGCAGAAATTGAAGCGCAAGTACTGGTGGAAGAACTTGAAAATGATGATTATTTTGGGAGTTATTGGTTTGGTGATTTTGATAATCATCATTGGTAAGGGATAAGTCACTAAACTGACATTTCAATTGTCATAATTCTTTTTTAGTGTCAATTTCGAACTCAGTGGGCAGCAGCAACACCACCAAATCGGTTGAATCTACACCGTCTTCCAATCCTTAAAAATTTACTTTGTATAAAAAAAACACGTGGAAGTGCCTTGGGTTTAAAGCACAAGATATAAATATTTAGTTGTATGTTAAATATTTAAAAATATTTTATTATAGTTCAGTATTGTGATGTTTCAATATATTTTCTTTGATGTAGAAGGCGTGTCCAAATCCTGAGCTGTCAGAACTTTCCGATCCCCTCGATAGGTGGCGTTTGTGGTGTTCATCGCCCGGTGTTTAACCTCCTTAAGTCTATCCTCATCCCCTCCACTTTGACTCAAGTCATTATTACACAGCTCATCATAGATTTGATTCAATTCATTGCTAGGAAAAATGAACAATTTTCCGCACTTTTCCATATATTTCTGGGCCAATTTTTGGTATTCGTCATTTGTTTTCTGAAACTCAGCAAAATCCTCATCTTCTTCGACTAGATTTTTGAATTTTTTCAAACAATTGTCATACGGTGTTTTGACATTTATGTCACCATTTGACAGGTCGTAACGTCGCATAAACCGAGGTTCGAGTCCCAAAGGTTGGACAAGGGCACAATATTGGAAAACTTCATCTATTCGCATTTTATTATAGATAAAAACCACATCTAGTGACTTGTTAGCTCTGTGAATTTCATAAATTTCGCATAACTTGTCAAATTCGGTCTGTGTTAATCTAATTTTCACCCAATCCCTACAAAGCGATGCGTTTTTGTCAAAATTTGACGTTTAGTCATGACTCACTTGACTGGTTGCTTGTAGTATAAACCATATAACAAATAAATAGCGCCAGCTTGGATGTAGGGGTCAGACGAGAACAGGAATTTTTTTATTATGAAAAAACAGTTCTCAAGGAAGGCTTGAAACATCAAAATGTATTGTTGGTCCCTAAAAAATCCGCATTTTCTTAATTTTGTCAAATAACATTAAAAAAACATTACTTAAAAATCGACAGAAAACATTCATCTTTCCACAAATTTGCAAATGTTGTAAAGCTGAAATTCTGGTGTTGTTGGAATTTTTGTAAAAAATTCTCACAATCAGACTGAAAAGCCATGGCCAACTGGGCATCGTATTGGTAAATGTTGACTTGTGAGGGCTTTTTGGCCCACATTGAGGTTAGATCCATTATTAATCCTTGAAGCCAATATTTTTACGAAAAAAAACAATAAAAACACTCACTAGTTGATTGTAAGAGACACACTTTACACTTCTTTCAGTTTTAAGCGACTTCCCCGATGCATGTAGCACTATTACCAACCAAATTTGACAAATGTACCGCCAACAAATCAGTTGGCAATAATGATTGTATGGGAAAAACGAGCCAAATGGCTTCAAATTATCTTCAAAGATGTGATTTTCATTAGAAAGATTATTTAGTTAATTAATAATTTAATCAAATAAATTTTAAAAATATTATTTGAATTTAATTCAAACAAAATAAATAACAATTCCAGTATTAATAATTTATGTGTTTTACGTCACAGTTACTCATTACGTTACGTTTATTACGTTACAAATACGTTTTACGTTTAATAAAGATATAAATTGACAGGTTTATATTTTTTGATCTACATTATTTGATGTTGCCAACTTAATTTTGTAGTCATAGGCTTCTTATATCTTATTTATAAAACGTGTGTTCATTAAAAAAATCTCAAGAGTGCTTTGAGAACTATTTTGCATGTCTTTGATTAATTCATTTACCCACTTGTCAAGATGACAAATAATTAAAACTCATTAATGGACAATACATATATGACTACATACACGTTCACCCACTGCAAGTTTTTTAGCGAACACACGTTATTACACAATGTTGCCAACTTAGTTTTAAAATCACAGGCTACCTTGATCATAATAAATTTATTAACTTCTTCATTTTATTCTACACAATTTTTTTAAGTGAAAAACTTTCTTGTTTTTAATCTAGAAGGTTTCTTATTGTTCAAAGATAAAAACGAGTCAAGACCGTGTTTTTCATTAAAAAAATTACCGTTTTTACGTTGGTTTCGGATAGAATCATTGTTTGAAATTTTTTTGGCCGTCCCTAATGCGCATATTTGCGCCCAAAACGTCGTCCCCTCGCTCACATCGGTCCCTTCGAGGTTAATAAGGCCATCTAAATATAGCGCAGTATGTTTTGAAGTCCGTCTTAAAGCCGGTAGTTCCATTTTGCGTGCGTATTTTTAGTAAAATTTCGAAAATCGAAAGTGCAAATCCCTTAAATCGCCCCTCAGGTGAGTTTCATCAATAATATTCGCCTTAAAAGCGTCAAAAATCGGTTTTAACGAAAACGGCAACTTTATTGATCTCCGGACATGTTCTATATTTAGGTCCCCGGCTGATGAGTGGTCCTCAAACAACAATGGAGGACCAAGTCGAAGTGATTAAATCGAATAAAGGGGGTATGAAAGTGATACACAAAGGGTATATGTATACTGTTCACAAAAAACGACAATGTGGGGGTATTAGATGGCGCTGTGCTCAACGTAGTCTCCATTGTAAGGTAAGTAACGCCCAATGAAAATCGACGATTGGTGATTGGTCGATTTAATTGAGCCAACCAATCACAACCTTTACAGGGGAGCATCTCAACGGGGGTTGATGGGCCTCCCAAGGTCAACATGCCCCACAATCATTTACCCGACCTTCATTCCGTAGCCTTGGCTCGAGGACGACAAAATGAAGATTTCGGGTCATTGTCCCAACTCGTCGATGTAAAATTCGAGGAAGATCCAGGTATTAATTTATTAATTAGCAGAAGGGGTTAATAAATCGATTAAATGTGTGGGGGGTGATAGTTTTAAATTAATAATGACAACTTTTGAGAACCGCAGACACGATCATTGTGGTGCTTTGTATACTTGTCTCTGATCGGGACACGTCTTGTGCTTTTCTATAAACGGTTAAACCGGTCGGTTCGGGTGCAAAAAACCGTTTTGTGGGGTTGTTTGTGGTCACTGGGTGAAAATTCCGGGTTAATGGTTGCCGGAAGTGGACCGTATGGTAAGGTTATGTTGCGGGTTTCTCTGCCAGGGGGTGGTACCAATCTCCAAACTTAACCCCAATGGTTTTTTTGGTTCTTTAACCGGAAATTTTGTTATTGTTGTGTCGGTGGTTGAGCGGCGTTGGGTGACAGTTTGGGTGCCACTGGTCCAGTTTATTGTTTGTCGCCGCTAGCTCTGATCCTTGTTAGCGTGTTTAGTGTGGAATTTTTCCAAGTTTTCAGGCCCAAAAGGCCATTTTTATGTCGATTTTTCAATAAAATGACTGAAAATCCGGTAAGAAAAGTGCGGAAAAGCAACTTTTCCACCGACGAAGTGGACGTCCTTGTGGACTCGGTGAGGGCCAATTACGGGGTTTTGTACGGAAAGGACGCCAAAAGGGCCACCAATCGCTGGGTTAGACAGGAAGCATGGCTGGATATTTTAGGGAAAGTCAACGGTGTTAGCATTGAAAAACGCACCTTGCAGGAGGTTAAAAATAAGTGGAAGAAGTGTCAATATGCGTTGAAGGAAAAGGGACAGGGGGCTATTGGGGACGACGCCGGAGATAGCCCCTGGGAGGATTTCGTGGGTAGGTTTTCCGGTTTGTTTACATACGGTTGAGAACCACTGGAATGTGACAAGTGACACGGCGCCAAGTTCAAATTTGTTTGTATACAGCGTGAACCGATCAAAAATTCATGAAAATTGATTCAAATGACTCAACGATGCGTTATTATTTTTTAATCTATTATTCATCGAACTGCATTAACATTTGTCCTGCTGTCTTGCAACTTTCTTCACGTTTTAACGATAAATTTCCCCACAAAATAAAAAATACAGAACTCTGTAATTCGTTTTCTTTTGATTTGTTATCAATGCAGTATAATTCAAACATGAGTCATTGTCATTAAACTTATTTATTTTAAACTATTACTTACCTCAAAAATGTGAAGAAAATATGTTAAAAATACAGAAACCTGTAATTTTCTTTTCTTTTCAAATATTTTTAACTGTACGTTTTTCACTTTCTATGTTAAAAATATACTACAAACAGAGAGCAATGCTAAAACAACGTGTAAATAAAAAAAAATATATATGAAAAATACAGGTTCCTGTAATTTTTTTACTCCACAAGACAGTACAATTTTGTCTTTTATTTTTTTAAAACGTTTTACCGCCCAAATTTTGACCACCCCCTGGCAAAGCCCCCCTCCCCGCGTATACTCGCACCCTCCTGCACCCCTCCTTGCAGCCCCCCCTTCGCAATGCGTCGCAACAACCGCCACCGCCGCCACCTTTACAACGCCTACGATCTCGAATTAAAAAAATCCGTTGTGATTTTCGCCGAATCGAACGGTAACAAAGAGGCTCAAGCCCGTTACGGCATCTCGGAGGCTAACATTCGACGTTGGCGTCGTTTAAAAGACGATCTTTTCGGACGACCACTCGATTACGATCGCGGTAATTTACGCGTACGCAAACGAGTTAATTACAAAAAAACGAAAAGTGAAAAAGAAGACGATTGTAGTAGTGTAGGTGAGTCATGTAGGGGGCCATATCGCCTACCGATTGTCTTTTATTATTTGACATTTCGTAGATTCGATGCCGTTGCAAGAGAGATTATCAAAGATGGCAGCACAGGAGAGAATTGCTGGTCAAGTATTGAAGAGTCAGCCACTTTCGCCGACGAAATTAAAAGTGACGAGGCAAGGGCCGAGGATTGTTAAACCACCAGAGCCGCCACAATCGCCTGTTAATGAAGAAATGTGTCTGAGGTGGAATAGTCATCACTCGAATATGCAAACGGCCTTCCCTAGTATCTTATCTAAGGAACAATACGTCGATGTGACTTTAGCCGCTGAAGGAAAAACACTCAAATGTCACAGGGTTTGTGAGAAGGAGTTGTGGGCGTGGCTCCGCCACGCCCACAACTCCTCATCTTATATCCCTTTTTTTCAGTTGATCCTATCATCGTGTAGTCCATATTTTGAGGAGATTTTGAGTGGGATTAGTCCGTTCCAACACCCAGTACTCTTCATGAAAGACATCCCGTTTTGGATTTTGAAATCGCTGTGTGATTTTATGTACGCAGGGGAAGTCCATATTTTCCAAAACAAACTCGAGGAGTTACTAACTGTTGCCGAGGCACTTAAAGTAAGTTCTAATCAAAAAATTTCTTTTCAGTAATTTTCTGATAGATTAAAGGTTTGGCTGGAAAATCTACACCTCCTGATCCCCAATCCGAAAACAAAGAAACGAAAAAGAAAAACAGTCAAGGGAAACATCACACACCACCTGTCAGAAAACATCCGATTTATAATCAAAACAGTTTCGAATCGACTAGTCAGGATTACGATGATGACTTACTAGATCCATTAGATTTGTTAGAACCGTTATATGAAGAGGCAGCTGAGGAGAAAAAACCGGCGGTTACTAAACCAAAAGAGAACAAATATCAATATCAACCGGTTAAAAAACCGTTTGGGAGAAGATTGAGGAAGAGAAAGTATTCAGAACAGCAGAATAGAGAACCGGTAGGTTATTTAAAATCGGTTAGGTAATTTTTGAGGGTCTTTTTTTCATTTTCAGTCTCCTCCTCCCGTCTTCTCCTTCCGTAAAGGCACCCGTTCCCGTCCTAATGTGAAAATCCCCAAATACTACCACCCCGAATACACCAACCCTCCAAAACCGGCTCTCAATTCCCAAACCGATCCTCTTCTCGACGTTGACGAAATCAAAACCGAACCGATCGACGTCGAAGACAATCTAATCGATTACAGCGACGAAGACCACTACTTGGAAAACTCCCTTGAAACGACCAATTGCGACAGCCCCATCATCATCACAAGCACTAAACCTAACCTTCCTGATAAGTTCAAGAAAATTAAATTAACCAAACCGATCATAACGGAAGTGCATTCGATTGAAGAGCCGAATCCACCATCAGGTGGATTGGAAGTGATTAAAATAACGGTACAACAGCCGGAGGAAAGTGGCAAAGAGACGGAGGAAGTGACTCCAGAACCAGAACCAGAAGCACTTATAATTCGAACGGAACCAGAACCTGAAGAAGCGATCGAGCAGACGGAACCGGAACCTGAAGAACCACTCCAAGGAGTGGTGATTGCATGCACGGAAGGGGGAGTTGAAGAGACTGAAAAAATGACTGTTGAAAATGAAAGTATTGATGGTCATGTGACCGAAAATGGCGCCGGAGAAGAAGAAGAAGAAGAAGTTGAAAAACAAGATGGCGATATTGTGGTTCCTGTTCAAAATATACAAATTGAGAATGTTAGAAGTGAAAGTATGGAACAAGACCAAGAGGTGAATCTTCAAGAAGAAGAAGAAAGAAGAACAGCATCGTTGAATCATCTCGAAAAAGAAGCAATGAGTGTTGCAGATGCCATCACAATGGAAAGTCAAACCGATCCACCCGATATTGAAGAAAAAGTGTAAATAATTATATAATTGTCTAAGTAAGGGTTTTAAGCGTCTACAATTTTGTAAATAAGATTTTGTTTTATTTTAGTACAGAAACTTTTATTGTTTTCTTCAAAATATTAATTTTTTTTTATAATTGTAATTAGCGTGTAATAACATGGATAATAATTAATTCGTACTTTGCTTACCTTTTCCTGTTGGATAATTAGTTTTTCTGCAGTTTGGACAATATGTGATAATGTGGAATTTGGCACAATAAACACGATTTGATATTTGAAATTTTTTATTTCAATCATGAAAAAATCTTAAGTAGGCAACCAACAATTCAACGACTATTAAATTGACTAAAACTAATCAAACGATTTGGTTTTTGGATATATTACCTCAGAAATAACTTTCTAAACACGAAAAGTGCATTTGGATCAGTATTTAGCCCCAATTTTAATGTGACAACCTTGACAGCTGTCAAATGTCAAAAGTAAATTAATCAATTTGTAAAAACCATTATTTCTACTTGTTGTTAAGGAAACCGAAGAATTAGTGTTTGTGAACTCAATTAATGCCAAAAAGAATAATTAATTAGCCAATTGTTGTCAAAAATTCTATTTTGGCCAGTCATGTGACAGATATCATCTGTCAATTGTCAAAGTACATTTGTTTTTTTTAAACGTCAAGTGCCCCCGTTCCAATGCCCTAGACCCCAAAGTCATTGTCATTGCCTAAAACCACATCAAAAAACAAATAAAACTCGATAAAAATGTGAGAACCCACTTGACACAATCAACTCATCACGTCAACAAGTATATTGATTTTTGTACAACCCACGTATTGTCTCACCCAGTGTTCGATTTGCAGTGATGATGAATGTGACAGCAGCCCCCGATACCTCGGGGGCCACCATCGAGAATCTCTACCCGGCGTTGACCGAATGTTTCGCTATAATTTTGTGTGGTTATGCTGCTGGAAGAATGAACATGATTTCGGAAACGGAAGCGAAAGGAATCAACACATTCGTTGGCACTTTTTCACTTCCATCTCTCATTTTCATGTCTTTGGCCGAACTCGATCTCAGTTCGGTGAATTGGTTGTTTTTAGTCGCGATTCTAATCGCGAAAAGTATAGTGTTTTTCTCGGTGATTGTGGTAACACTGTTGGTTGGCAGGCCTGTAAATTTGGGTCGTGCGGGGATTTTCGCCATTTTTTGCACACAAAGCAACGATTTCGCCATCGGTTATCCTATAGGTAAGTGGGGTGTTACAACATGGTTGCCAACTTAAAATTTCATTTCAGTGGCAGCACTGTATAAAACAAGCCACCCCGAATACGCCTCATACTTGTATCTAATGGCCCCGATCAGTCTTGCCATCCTAAACCCCATCTCGTTCGTATTTATGGAAATTGGACGTCGACGAGATGGTAACACTGATTTTCTCCTCGACGGTGATTTGGCAACATCGCGAAACATTCACCGATTTAAAATGGTGGTTTCTGTAGCGAAAAGTATTTTCCTAAATCCGATAATATTCATGACGATTTTGGGAATTTTGGGGAATTTTGTTTTCAGACACCAAATACCCTGTTATCTAGGGGGAGTTTTAGACGTACTGGGAAAAGCGTTTTCGGCTAGTGCTTTATTTTTGTTAGGTTTGCGAATGGTTGGTAAAGTACATAAATTACGAGGAGCTACTCTTGTAGTTCCTGGGATTTTAATAATGGTGAAATTGTAAGTTACGACGCCATTTTGATTATTTCAAATGTCTTTCTTTTTTTCTCAAGGATTGCTCTACCTTTAGTTACCAGAGAAGTTGTCAGTATTTTACACACCGGGTATAACAAAAGCGAAACGATGGATTTGAGCACTTATGGGTTTCTTTATGGTACCTTCCCATCAGCGCCTACTGTCTTTGTATTCGCTACACAATATTTCATAGATGTTGATCTCGTAATTACAGATTCCTGTAATTGCAAATAATTGAATTGAGTAATATTTATTGTAGATTGCTAGTGCTATGGTAGCTTGTACATTTATCAGCGCCCCTTTGATGTTTGTCTCTGCAAAAATGATAACAATCACAAAAACAGACCCATCGGAATATATTAAACAATTAGATTCTTTTACTTTAGATATAAGCATTGTTGCCATAATTGCATGCGGTTGGGTAATTTTAGTTTTTATTCTTACGAAAAAAATCACTAGATTACCACACAAAATCACCGCTTGCTTGATTACATCGCAGGTAATTTGTACAAAATGATGGGTCATTTTTTTCAATTGTTTTTTCAGCTTATCAGTTGCCTGGGTGCTGTTTTATATAATACACTTCCACAGAAAGAAATCTGGGCGAGTTATATACCATCAGTTTTCATTATGGGTGTTTACAGTACACGCATCTGGACCACAATCCTCGCTGTAACTTTATTATTTTTACAGTGTAGAAGTCTCTGCTACGTATTGAAACTACAACCGATTTTTTTCACAATCGGTTGGGGACTTCCCACAATTTTGATAGTTATTTTAGTGTTATTTGACAGTAAAAATCTCCGGCCACTCGATAAACGCAACCCCAATTTCGTCTACGGCACGTATCAAGCAGTCGTGGCCATAGCACTCTTAGTTTTATGTTTCATCGGTAAGTTAATTGATCAAGTCGGCTATGATTAATTTTGACAATTGACAGTTACCGCCGGTTGTTTGATTTTACAACAGCGCTATCATCGTCGCTTCACCCGCTATCTAGATTTAGCCCAGGATATTTCCTCCGATTCACCTACTCCTGAAATTGAAAGTCCGAATCCGGGTACGAGTTCCGACTCCGGTATAAGTCCGGGTAGAAGCACGAAATGTGGCGCTTTACCAACTATAAACGAAGGTTGTTGCGAAGAAAGTCCGGTCGATATTGAGGATTTATTTCCGGTGAATGGTGATACCGGACTTTGTCCTTCACGATTCGGTTGTCAAGGACCAAAACGTGAACAGTGTCAAGGGATTGTGAGACAATATCAGGAAACCATCGACGATGACCTTGAGTTTATCGAAGAGGAGCCGGAATTGCACGAACCACAGTTTTTGAGACACACTGTATTATTGATTTTGTTGCTATGCTCGATGTTTGTGGTAGGTTGGCAGACTTGTCATTGATACGATTTTGTGTTTTTTTTTCAGGGGTTGGCATTATCGATTTGGACACTTGTCATGGAACAGGTTTCGGGGATTTACATCGAATTGTCGTTTCTCGATGCGACTTTAAATTTCGGCCAAAGTATCATTGTTTTCGGTATTTTCGGTTTGGAATTGAAAGAGGTCGCTTTACCTTTGTTAAAATTGAAGAGATTGATCTGGTATGGAAGTAATAGTTTAGTGCTGCCATCTTGGCATGAATTGTCACCGGAAACGCGCCATATTTGCGACCAATTTGTCACCCATCATTTGCAAAGTTGTCGTAATGCGATTGCAAGGGATAAGAGATGGCGTATTAAGGTTTATAAGAGTGTCTTTACTGGAATCGAGTTCGTTGATTGGCTGATTGCGGTGGGGCTTGCACGTGATAGAGGCCAGGCTGTGAACTATGCAAGACATCTGATCGAAGGCAAAGTCTTGAAGCACATAAACGGAGTTTACCACTTTTACGATAGAAATCTATTGTATACTTTTGTTTAGCTTATTTGAAGCCAAAGATTTATTTTTCTATGTCAAGTGATACAACGATGTAACCATGTTTAGGGGTTGTGATTTTTGGTTGGTCACAGTGTCATATCAGGGCTTGCGTTAGTAATTATTTAAGTCTGAACTAGACAATATATGTGTGATGCAAATGAAACGTCAAAAAATAATTAGTCATTTATTGTTGGCCCGGCATTAACAGTCCTCGTCCCATTGTTGTCTTCCCTGTTCCCTCTCTCGCCAATACTGACCGTCACACTCACTACAAAACAATTACAATCTTATCACTTTTCTTATCACAACTCACCAATAATGATTGTCAATACAATCAAGCTAACGATGATCAAAATGATCAACATTTTGATATTTTTCCACCAGTATTTTTTCTTTAGTTTGCCGGCTTGTTGCTCGAATTGTTTTCCTCCTTCGATCAAATCTTCAGCGATGGTATTCATCCGTTTTAAATTTTCTTCCCGCTCCATGACTTTTTCAAGATTCACTCGCATTATATTCACCACTTCGTCTACTTGAGCTTGCGTTTCTTTCAATTTTTCAGGCGATGAATCTTGCGTAGGACGCTCCATTTTTGTTAAACACACGCGAAAATTTACACAAAATAAAAACGATAAACACCACTTGCTTATCTTATCGACGTTATCAAAATTATAATTAATCGGACGCACAAAGGAAATGGAGGATTAAGTGAATTTAATTGATTTTTTCCATTATTCAAACGTTTAATTAGTTTATTAGTGGGACTTTTGGAATTTTTTGTATTGTTGGTTGCATAATAGCCCAAAATAATTATTTACTAAAATTGCCATAAAATATGCAGATAATCCTCAAATGGTTTATTAACTCTATAATAAAAATTATCTTTATTACCATTTTTTGTATAAGTTTTACATTTAATTAAAGATCCCCAATTTTTTGTCACCACTGCCAACCACAATTAATACAGAAAAAAAAAATTATATGCTAATCTAATGCTTCCAAACAAATTTCCGATTAAAAAATGTTGCATGATTGTAAAATTAATATAATAAGTTGGCGGTATAAACTATCAACAGGGCAGCCAATCAATAAACTAAAATTCATTGAATCCAAATTTGAAAAAGTTGGCAAATTTACACCGATTTTCATTAAATTATAAGATTATGATTTAAATTTTTATCATTTCAATAGTGTGAAAAGTTTATTTTTTTTATATAAACTGAGTGGTGAGGTAGGTAAAAATATTACATTAGCTTTATTTAGTGATTTTTGACCAGATATAGCAAAATCTTGCAAAAAAACAAACTTTTTAGTTTACAAAATCTACTTCAACTTTTGAAAAAGATAAAAGTTACATCATTTTCGATTCAAGTCTGATTCTTCGGCTTATTTTTAACAAAATAATTGCGAAATGGGTGCGTTCTTATCTAACTAACGTTCTAGAACGCTCGAGAAATGCAATTTTTGACTTAATTTATTGTCTTTTTGGTTTGTTTTAGCAAAATTTCGCAAAAAACTGAGAATTTGGGACAAAAAGTGCTAAAAACTATTTTCTTCAACAAATTTTCGAGTTTTTCAACTTATTTTTGTCTTAATTTTGCTCAAAAACCAGTTAAGTCGAGTGAAACAAACAAAATAATATCAATTCTGTATTAATTTTTTGGTCATTTTTGGCGAGTTTGGACAAGAAGTAAGTCGAGCGAAATAAGCCAATAAGTAATATGTTTCGATTTTTTTTATTTTGATTTCAAAAATACAGGGTGCCCCAGAGAAAAATGCCATATAAGGTGGGATACCAGGAATGTGGAAAAAATGTTAAAAAAATTGTATCTATAAAAATTCCAAAGTTGAGGGTTTAAATTTTGCACTTTGACTCTATTTATTTCTGTTGGAAAAATAATTTTCCAAGTTTTTTGCTACAGGCTATTAAAAGAGGAAACAAGGAAGCTATATCCTAAGTTGTAACTCTGTTCAATGTTATTTGTGGCTTTTATTGGCAAATTTTTTCTACCTTTACTAAATAATTGTAAAAAAACATATACAAGATCAACAGTATCATTAAATAGACAGAAAAAATGTCAAATGTCAAAAATTTTTGAAATTTTTTTAAACATTTTTTCCAAGTTCCTAGTATCTTACCTTATTTAATTTTTTTCTCTGGTGCGTGAGTTCTGGCGCACCCTGTATGATCGAAAAAGGCAAAAATAACACCACTTTTGGTTTATTTTGTTGAATTTCTCGCTTGTTTTTAAGGAAAATTCTCGACTTTATTGTCACCACTGCCAACTTATATACATAGTACTCCTATCTTCTATATTTTTGAAAAATCAACAATAAATACAGAAAAATTTAGTTATTTGAAAAAAATGTGATGCTGTCAAATAAAATTTCGATCAAAAAGTGATATAGTGTTGCCAACTTAATTTCAAAGTCACGAGTCACTTTGATCGAAGATTGATATAAAAGAAAAAAAATGGTCTTTAGGCAACCCAAAAAACACTCAATTGAAACGCAAAAAACATATAAAAACCATCACTTTATTATGCAAATGGCTAATAATTACGTGTTTTTCAGTGTTTGTGTGTAAAACGTCGCCAATTCTCTTGAAATAAAGCAAAAACTTGGACAAAGTAAAAGTGACTGTCAAAAAACTGGTATTTTTGTTGCGTCATGTTGGCGCCACAATAATGTCGCTACACCCTAACCTCACAAACTCATCGCGTTCCATACCACCAAAATCGCCTTTATTTTGACATAGAATGGCCGAGACATCACCGTCGGTCCACCAACGCGACCTCTACAACATCAAGCGTCTCTTGTGGAGCACCGACATTAAATCCGACATTTTCCGTCGCTGGTCTCAAGGTACACCTCCCTCAAATCCCTCAGTCTCACTAACCCCCAAACGCAGGCTTCTATTTCAGTACGAGCGAGCCGACAGCCTTGGAACAGGCCGAAGGGGGCCCTTGTGCCATCATCGCCCCCGTTCAAGCCTTCATTTTGAAGAATTTGCTACTCAAATACAAGGATTTATCATTCCGGGAGATGGCCGTCACTAGTGACATGCAGACGCATCTCCTCGCCAACGCCTTGTGTGAAATATTGGAACAGTGCACCGGTCAGAAGTATTTTTTAGTGTATTTGAGTGACACTAGTGACGAAGTGGTACAAAATGGTGTTGTGTCCGAGTCGGAATCGACGGTTTTTCACGAGGGGCTCCGAATACACGTGTTTCAGAATGTAGAGGAGGTTAGGAAGTATTACATTGAGAATATCAACCACTTGAAGTCACAATACGGAATTTTGTTATTTTTATATTCGGTCATTTTGACACGGGTCGGTTGGAGAAAAAATTTGTATACACCTCACGATAAATTTGGGTTTGTTATAGGGATTGGAAGAAGTCCAATCGGATAATTCTAATGACACCTCAGAGCCTTTAATTGATGACACTTATGGATATGGAAGCCAAAGTCTTATCAATCTTATGATAACAGGACGTGCGACGACTTATGTGTGGGACCACGAGCAAGACGTCGGTGGTTTAAGTATGTGCGTTTTATATGCGGTCGGTAATATAGATTCCTATTTGTTTTAGAATTGAAAGGATTGGAGAAACAAAGCCAGATTGGTTTTATTACAATAATGGAGCATTTAAGGTATTGCACAGTGGGGTCTTTTTATAAAAATCCGATTCATCCGGTTTGGGTCTTGGGTTCTGACACTCATTTAACAGGTGCTACGCCCCCCTCTATACCCCCACAGACTTTTTAAAAATCATTTTTAGTATTATTTAGCACAGAAAGACGGCTCGTGAGTCCTGAAACTAAAACAGATCAGGCGAAACGAGTTTTTAAACATTTTGATCCTGATGGAAATAATTTTATAAGTTCGTCTTTATTACAAGATGTGCTACAAGCCCTAGATCTAGTCAGTGAAGAGGAGTAGTAAGTGGCACAATTCGTATTAAAATTAGTAATAATAAAAAAATTCAGTGTAGAGGTTATGAGGAAAAAACTGGACCCGGAAAATTTAGGGATAATTCTGTTGAACAATTTTATGGATGAGTTTTTCCCCAAGGAGGATAATCCAATGCCGGATGTGTTTGCATTGGTGCATTACAATAGTTTGGCTCAGAGTAATTTGGACGGACAGGTTTGTTCAAGTTTTTTTTTTGATTTTTTTTTATATTTTTTATTTTAGATAAGGTACAGAATAGGTGAATGTGTTTTATTGGAGTCGGATTTGAGGGCTGTCAGTGAGTCAAATCCGATGTTGACAGTGTTACAAACCAAGTGGCCAAATATAGAAGTTCGATGGAACGAATTAGGGACGCCCTCTTTGAATTAGTGACAATTTTATTTGGCATTTATTTAATTTTTACAACCGCAGATAATTTTTTGTTATTGCATTTTTTAATAAACTATTTTCAATTGAGCATTTAGTTGGACGAATTTTGCAAATTCGTTGAAAAGAGTAAAATGTTATATTTGTTAAGCCGAAATGTATAAAAACACAAAAATATGTATATTATGAAAGATATTTAATTCTGTTAGTGCATGTGTATTTTGGAAAAACAATAAAATACGTTGCATTTCTCTTCCTAGTGAGGGTTTTTATTGTTGGCGCCGAAATTCAAAAATCGGGAGAAAAGGCGGCGACGGCCGAACGTAAACGAATAATAAAACTTGAAAAACCGAATCTTTGTAAAATTTTTGTTAAAACCATAAAATTCTCATTCAAATTCAAATCTTGTCATTTATTCGCATTTAATTTAATTGAAAGTGAGGAAAAATGCGTTTTTGTCATAAAAACTAGACAATTTTGAATCTTCTTAGCGTCACCCGAGATTCAATTGTTTCGAGAAAAAACTTAATTATTTATTTACTTACATTTAATTATCGCCTGTTTTTCACTAATGTGACACCAAAAAGTCTTTTTTCACGTTTTATCATCACTTTTCACCACTTTTTCACTCACTTTCAAATGTCAAAGGAAAATCCGAACTAACTCGAAGATAGCCGGAACAACCGGAAGTTGGCTACAAATTAAAACTTTTAAAGAAATTAACGTAAATTTGATAATAATTAATTAATTTAGTTTGTTGTTAAAGTATTGTGATGTTTCTTGAGTATTTGTGGCATTGAAATTAAATAAGAGAAATTCAATTATTATTTTTAGAGTTATGCAACCAATTATACTCGAAGCATTTATTTAAATAAAATGCGCTCCCTCGTTGGCGATGAAAATTGTTTTTGGCTGATAAAGGTGAGTAAAACGCAGGTGTTATTTTTAATATTTGCTATTTCCAGTAAGTAAGATACATTTCACACGTACAGTTCATACATCAATTTGTTGAATAAAAACATGTTAACATAATTTTTTCCTAAAACCACAATCTTATTAAATTTTGTTTAGCCTATATATTACAAAAGAAGTGTAATTTTGCACGTAATGCCTCAAGTTTTCGAATTTCGTTTACCTAAAAAATGAGAATTTTCGAATCAATCGCTCACCATTCACACTTGAACTGATTTATTTTTCACTGTAATGCGAACTACAGCCGAAAAAATTGTAATAGGAACTTAAAAAAACTCTACGAAAAGCATAAGTTAAAAAATATAAATGGCAGTCGAATTTTTAAATAATAAAAAAGATGGCGGCAAAAACTTGTATAAAATTATAATAACGTATATAACTCCTTACCTAACGTTACGTAACATATAAATAAAGTCCGGTGGTCCGGCGAGTTAGTAAAATATATATAAAAAAGTTATTAATATCAAATATTACATTTTTCCTTGTTTTTTTTCCGTAAATTCAAACATTTAATAAATTACAATAAAGCATAAACTATGAAAAACAACTGTAGTAGTAACATATACAGTACCAACTATGAAAAAATTGAGAAAAAAACATTGAGTCAACACGGGCCGACTTGGCCCACTCTCCTCTACAGATCATGGCCAACTCGGCCTTGTTACAAGCAACGGAAATGGCGTATTATTACATTGATTCGGATAAAAAGGGCGCGGGGCGCCCGCCTCGAGCCGGCCCTGAGCTCGATTTTCTCACCTCAACTTACTAATCAACAATAAACATTTAGCTAAATATAACTATAGCAAAGTGCAAAGATGGCCGCTACTCGAAGATGGCGCCCTCTATTCGCGCCCACAAAACTTATTTATCATATATACGTATACGACGAAAAAAATAACTTAACATTAACTTGTGTTAACACAACTAACATTGAAATAACTATAGAAACATTTTTTTGCATTTTTTTATTTTCATGTGGTTTTAAATCGAATTTTAGACTGGTTTTTGACGTTTTGTTGGCCGAAAAGTGTGCTTTTCCCAAAAGTGACTTTAGACGACTTGATTATTGTGTAAAATGTGTCAATATGGCGCCGAAATCTCACAGTTTTTGAGTATTGAAGTCGAAAGTGTTTTTTTATCCATGTGTAAAGTGTGTGTGTGTAAAATCTGATTATTATTGTAAAACAAATGAAAACGTCCGGGTCACGTGACTGTGTCACGTGACCCGTCCGAACAAACACGAACTGAAGTGTGGTTACCGAATTTTTTGTATAGCATAAGAGAATCATTATGCGTTTAGACTATTGCTGTTTAACTGAAAATTTAAGGATCCGGACCTGGTAAAGGGCCCTTTTTCGGGGCTTTTCCATTGTATTTTTTCCTCTATATAGACTATCGAAGCGGTGGTATTGAACAGCAAGAGGGAGGGGGCGCCTATGTGTTTTTGGGTCCCCTTGAAAGGGCCCCCCAGGACCGTACTAAACACCAAACTGAATCATCATCGAACTGAATCTGGTTAAAACTTGAAAAAACTGTGCAAAATTTTTGCACTGATGTACTGTGGGCTATTGCAAAAGAAATTTTTTTTATTTTTGGTAATTTTACAATAAATATTTGTCCATTCGGGCACTAGACGTTAATATTTATGTAAAATACACATATGGCGGCCATTTTGTCAAAATGGCCGCCGCGGGCTTTTACTGAAAGTTTGATGGGTCGGAGTGTGGGTCCGACGATGGGCTATTGTAAAATTTACGATGGAATAATTACGCAAGTAATTATTTGAGTGGGCAAAAATGTTTGTAGCACTAAGTGCAACCGGGCTATTGTAGAGTTTTTGTATGTATTTTAACTGTCAAAATCGGGAGTTAGAGGGCGCTAGCGCGCCGATATGTCAACTTTGGCGGTGTTTCACGACGGGTGAAACGGTCATTTGTCACTTTTTAGGAAATTGTGAGACGCGGCAACGCCGCAACTATTGTAGATTTTTTAAACTATTGTCTATATGGCTATTGTAATATATGGGAAATCTATTAGGGCTGAGAAGAGGAAGCGAGGACCGCGGGGGCGATTTTACGCATCAGACCACTATTTTTAAACATTCAAAAATCCCCAAAAACAAACCAATTGAATTTTTGAATTACAGGAAACTGTAATTAGAAATTTTTACTTTTAAAATTCTCCCAATAAACTGCTAAAAACGAGTAGTCTCCCTTTGATCGAGTAATCATAAATTAAATTTATTACAAGAACTAAAATAATAATTTCTGGTTTGTGATACAGGGAACTGTAATTTTAAAATTAAAAACAAACCAACTGTGCAAAATATCTCCTTTTTAGTTTTATTTCCAAAACTTCATAATTTGTTAAAATTTCGGGCTTGTTCTAAGATTTTTGAATTACAGGAAACTGTAACTAGGAAATTTTACTCTCAATATTCTCTTCTAAAACCTTCAAATATACTTGTTTCCTTTTGATTTACAAATTTTAAATTTAAAATTGCATTTTTTGAAATAACTAAAACAATAATTCCTGATTTTTGTTACAGAAATCTGTAATTTTGAAATTTCTCCCCCGGGGCCCCCGCTTCCCGCCCCTCGCACCGTGCCGGATTGCTTATGTACAGGCCTTACGTATAAATTATGTACAGTTCTGATAAAACCACATATTGACGAGAAACCGAAAAAAGTTGAACCATTTAAGTACTTGGTACAAAAAAATGATTTCCGCACAGTCTGACTCATTCATTCGACATTCGCACTAAAAAATTATAAATTCGGGGCTTTGAGCCCCCTTTGTACTTAAAAAAGAAAACGAATAATAAATTCCGATCTTTAATTAATAAAAAATCACAGTAAAAATTGCAAATTGATTTTTCCTCGATTTATTGCTAGCATATTTATAACCGGCCAAATAACTAAAATCACAGTTTGCAAAAAAAGTTTTTCCTCATCATAAAATTTGATTCTTTTCGCATTTTTTTTGTAAATAAAAACTCGTACTTACATCGCGCTTTATAATTACAAATATTCTCTTCTATCATTCATCCAGAATTTCTTCTTCTAAAACAATCTTTATATTTACAACTTATCCTTAAATATAATTATGCATTAAGTATTTTGTTTTACTTAACGTTACCTAAAAACACTTACTTTAGGTATTATCTCCAACACTTATTTACTATACATTGTTTAAATGATTTCTCCTCTTGATTTTTGTAGTTGGTGCACTTGTAAAGTGCGTTTATTAATGGCTTGGCCATTAGTAATATTACTGAGCGCATGAAAAATTTGGCACATTTTTAAATATGGCGTCCGTGCTGGAAGATGGCCGCTGAATGGAAGATGGCGGCCGATTGTACTTTTGCGTTCAGTAGTAATTAAAATTTCATGGCTGTTGATTCTGCTGTTGGCTACTTAGAGAGAACCCCAAAGTCCGGGGGTCACTCCCGTGCAGTCTCAACGCCTGTTCTAATCGCTGCTCTTGCAGTCGTAGCGCTTCGGTCAGGTCCGGACTCAGCTGTTGCGACGACTGGCCCTGATGCGGCTGATAATTACCTGAAATTGCAATTTTCATTATGATAAATGACTCGGCTCCGCCTCGGCAACACACCGTTATGTCGCAGCGGACTGCCGTTATCCTGCTGGTGTTGGTTGAGCTGAGGCAAGGCTTGACTCATGGCGAGTCTCAGTGCCGCCTCGGCCTGCGACCTGAGCAGCGCCTCAGCGTGCTGTTGCATCCTGAGCGCGTCCTGCTGTTGCTGAGACTGCTGAGGCGATGACATGTCCATCACCGACGACCGCATCGCGTCCATGTTCCTTATACTGTCCATGGACGCCCGCATGGCGTTCATCGCGTTCATGGACGCCGAAAGGGTGTCGTTGTTGATGGGCGGCGTCGACGGGTTACTGCTGTTGTTCACCTGATTGGCCTACAAGCAAACACCAACATCAAAAACAAACATTTACTAGGTTACTAGTTCATTGGCATAACAATTGCCAATAAAACAAAATGGCATTTCGTACCAACATTGGAAACAAAATTTACTAGATTTTCAAAAATTGTTAATTACTTGTGTGACGCCGAGTCGCATGGCAAGGTTGGCAATATTGGCGGCGGCGATGTTGGCAGCGGCCGAGGAGTCGGAGCCGAGTCCTGGGGGAACCCCCCCTTGGCCCACCATGTTGGCAATGACGGCCATTCTATTAGCGTTGTGGAATTGCTCTTCGACGTTGTACTGTTGGTGGAGGCCGTTGTTACTTCTTAAAATCTCATTCAGTTTTGTTGTACAATTGTTGTTGTTGTTGTTAAGACCACCGGCTTCAGATCCGGCTGAAGAGAGACGGCCATTGCCTGAGGAACTGTCACTGTGAGCACTAGGGGATGCACACATCGGGCTACCACTCGCTGAAAAACACACAGATCATGATTTGGAGGAGAGGTTAGGGGAAGCACCGGTTGACATACCTACGTTAAAGTTAGGTTAGGGAGCAGCAAAGTTGGTTTATTAGCCAGGGATTGAGAGAGAAAGAAAGTGCATGCACAATAGCTGGTGTTAAGAGGTTTAAGAAGTTTAAATCTGACAACTTTTTATCCGTCTATTTCTACCACTATATATACAGGGTGTGTAAGAGAAAGAAGTTAAGTGATTTAGAAAGAGAGAATATAATTTATTACAGAAGCCAGTATATTATATACAAACTAAAATATAAGAATATAAGAAAGTAAGAATATATCACATGCCATTTAGTATAGCGTAGGGTGTTTACCTGCCCCAGCCATTCCTGTGAGGCCTAGAAGGCCACTACCGGAAGCGGAAGCGGAAACGGCCGCCAATAAAGTCTCTCTTTCTCTCCTTTCGGCGGCGGCGCGTGATAGGACGTATTGGGCGGCGAACTGATGTTTAGTATCCATCCTCATATGTTCCATATGTGTGAGAAGACCTAAAAAACAAGATGAGAAAAAAATGTAATTTTCGTATTTTTGTTTAAAAAAGTTGTGAGACACGAAACAGAAAGCAAACGAGGACAAGAGTATAGAAAAATTTGGGTTTATATCCTCATCAGTTGGCTGGTTTTGACTGTCAAGAGTTTTCGAAATTTGAAATCGCGCGCCATCACTGATGAGGTTATAATTGGCGGTAAATTCAAAAAACGTGATACCTGATTCGTGCGTAAAAACTGCTTGACAAACAGAACACGGCCACATTCTCAACGAACTTGACAATTGTGACGTTTCGGGATGGCACGCCAAATGTTTCCTGAGGGATCCTTCATTCACATAATGCTTTCCACAAACGGGACAAGGATGATTCGCTGTCCTTCTCTTCGCTAAATAAGGATCGATGACGTCAACAGAGAGAGAAAAAAAGATCAAGCCAAGCAACCCCAAGGATCTTTATCAAAGCGATTTATTTTCTCAAAAATTGACTAATCTAAGG